TTTTTTTTTGAAGGTCATTTCAAAGGAGGAGAAAATACAATAAAGGTTTACTTCATCTTTTCTATATCCGTTTTTGTGTTCCTCTTGGGCCCGATTGTTTAGGAATGACATGCCTGGTAAGACACAGAGGGGGATGCATGGTACCTTCTAAACGGGTTTGTTCAAAAAGAGAAATCTAGTGTATGAAAATGTAGACAGGCACTGGCGTACGCATGCATGTGCTTAAACTCGATGGAACCACAAAAACAATGTTGGACGAGGAGGGTCATGGGGTTCTATCCCTAACCATGAAATCTAGATGATTGAAAGGAGTGTCATCCACGTATATTAAATTTTTTAGTTCTTCTACTTTTTCGCTCAAAACAATTTCATCTTCCATTTTTTAAAAAAATGAAGAAATATTTATGCTTAAAAAATGTTTATAAGACTATTTCCTTTAGCATTTTTTTAACACTTGGCTTTTATTCCTTAAGAAGACGAAAAAAGGGTAATGCAATTCGAAGAGCATAGGCGCTCGCTATATCTATAAGCGTCTCATCACAAGCAGATTTTGTGCTACTCTCCATTTTTTTTTGTATCCATATAGAAGTTTTTTCAATTATATGTACATGGAGACATTACACTCTAACCTACATTTTTTTTTTTTTTTTTTTTTTTTTTTGCCTGCGCCATACGCATTTGATCGTGAATTAGACAAATTGTATTTTCGATTATTACAAACAAATTTCTTTTTTTTAAGCATTTTTCGTCAGCGTTTATCTATTTAGTATGTAAAAGAACAACTTGTAGAAATATTACACGCATTCTTCCTATTTGTTGTTCTTTTCTGATAGTAGACGAGGGGCGTGTTTTACGCTGACCCCGTTTTGGCCATTTGTGTGTTATCGAGGTGTGAAGTATACCCATGTATGCATGAACATGCATTTTTGTATATACACCTATATGAATTCGAATGTATAGGAATACTTTTTTTATAGAACATGGATTACTGGTTAAACCACCATTCTCATTCAAGAGTGCTTTTTTTTTTTCTTTTTAAGCTATTAAATGGGGACACTGAAAGCTGAATTGCCGCAAAAAACAGATTTGTATTGTTAATTTATTTTGCATTAGCATTTCTATTATATAGGACAAAATTAACAAAAGGGATGACAAGTTGATTTTTGTTGAGTGCTAGGCTAGCTAATCGAATGGTTGACTCTCGCACAATGTTGTGGCTAGGAAGGCAAACGAAGAGGTGTGCCCTACATGTTTGGAACAGTTCAAATCATTTATTGGCTGTTTTTATATTCCATAAAAACTTTTGTTTACCGTTATGTAACGAACACATTTTGACAGAGAACAAAAATGTGGATTCGTTCAGAGCATGAAATTTAACAATTTTTAACCTGTGTGAGCTGGAGAATTAATCGGTAAAATGAAGACATCTACTTATGAATACGTGTAGCTGTTCGGAAATACGACACACTTGGGGATTAGTCAAAAGTGTGCACAAGAATGTAATGCTTGTACGAAGGAAAACATATATGTGTATACAGTACATAGTGCTGCCGCTTTTATTTTATTTTATTTTTTTTGCGTATAAATGTACATTACAAAATATGTTAAATGGTGTGCAACACGCATTTATGTTCATAAGGTTGTGCAAAGGGCTGTTTCATTTTTTCTTTTGTAACTCTGTTATTTTCTTTTTTTTTGGCGTTTTTATTCTTATTTTAATTTTGAAATTGACGCAGGCTTTTTTTTTTTTTAATTTTCACATCGATTTTGCTTTTTATTTTCAGGTCGGTTATTTTATTTTAAGTTAAATTTAAATTTCAATTTCAATTTTCCTTCTCACTTTTTTTAAATACACACGCATTTAATTTCACCCCTTTTGGTTCATCTTTTGATGACGGCCCCGTTTTTTTGTTTTCACCTTTACAATTTTGATACTTGAAAAAAATGAGCAAGTTCGTAGTATGACACGCAAAAAGTAACGCTACGCATGAACATTCTGTAAACATGCGCACCCATGTAGATAGACCCCACTTTTCAGCTAGCTACCTTTTTAAGGGGTGCGCATTTCTTTGATAGCACTTTATGCGTATTTGCATGCCTAGCGTACGCCAAACGTATAGCCAGCGTATGGTGAGTGTATGCCAAACGTATGGCGAGCGTATGCTAAATCTAATTGAGAATAGCCAAGCGCATGCTACAATTATGGTCAGTGTATGCGAAGCGTATGCGTGACACATGCACATTACACACATTATAAGCTTTTTTTTGGTATGTCCCTTATTGTGCAACTAGCCATGGCCCCATTTAATTAATTATGATACATTTAAAAAGCCAGGTGCGTGTATTGGCATTTAGGCCGGATTTTTATCATATCAAATAATTTTTTTTAAGCCCCCCCCAAAATTGTCATAATGGTGTGAGCCCTTATTATATACGTAAGGATTGCATATTTCTCGTTTGAGGTCAAAAAAAAAAAGAAATAAGTTCGAGTGTAACATCACACCCCTTTATTTTCCAAATTTTTTTATTTTAAATTTATACACATATTTTTTTATTTAATAAGTTTATATATGTTAAGATCGTAAATTTCTTTTTTCTTTTTTTTTTTTTTAAAGCCTTGTTGCTATATGTTGCTATTATATGTACATAATAATTGTGGTGGGAATTTTTAAAGTTACATGGAAAATTATGTACCAAAATTGCGGCAATTTTATTTTGCTCTCTCTCTCTCTCTCTTTTTTTTTTTTTTTTTAAATATATATACAAAAGGGGAAAAAGAAAAAAAAGAACTTCAGTTTTCCAAGCTTTGTTGTGTTTTATTATTTGATATGAACACCTCCCCTGCTGCGTAATTGTTTATGTAAAAAAGTGTAAAGTAAGGATCATTATGTCAGCACGTGTACACGTAAAAGTACTTATGCTCCACTATATAAACCCACGCACATACGCGTTAAAATAAAAATGTACTTGTGTAAATTGATGACAAACATGAATGAAGAGCAGATATATTTCACGAGCATGTGAATATATGTTTGTTTTGAATTATCTCGAACGCCTCAAATGTTTCGTATATATACAGCTTGGTCATGCGTAGGGCCATGTATATTGTGAAGAATGCAATTGCGTGTACATTTTGCTGCGTACATTCGCTTGTACACATATGTATATTTTTGTTTCACCATGGTCCTTTCGTTCTGATTAAGTTTTTATGTGCCAAAAAATATATATAAGTGAAAGGAAAAGAAAAAAAAGAACGAACACATTTGTTCTGTAAAGTTCTCTTTTTAACCTTGTTAACCTGTTTAACTTTTTTTTTCTTTTTTTTTTTTTTGGCATTTGTTTTTAACCGAAAAATTCATGTTCTGTTTTTTTTTTTTGTTGAATGTTTATTGTGCTACTAAGCATAAGCCTCCTTTATATGCAGTGTGCACCATTCATAATGATCGTAATTTTTGCTATGTTTTTTAAGAGGTCTCCTTTTTAAGTTTCTCTTGTGCTGTCACCGTAGTAGTCAGAGCTTGCGCTCACCATCCTTTTTGGAATTCTCCGAAGCGAATGCCCGTTATGGGCTTGCTCTAGTGACATAAATGTTCTGTTTCGTTCTCTCCCTTTCGAAATTATGGACGGAAAAAATTGAGGGTTGTAGGACCTTAACTGATATGTGTGCAGACGCTTATCAGCACTCTTCACAAATGTGCATGTACATATATATATGTGCACGGAAAAACGTGTTGCACGAGTGAGAGGATAGATAGGCGGAGGGGTACGCGGACAAGGTATCCCGATGCTCGCGTCGATACACACGTTAGGACCCACCCAAAGACATAAATAATAGGTGAGGGGCAAGATGGAGGAAGCGCTGGAGAAAAAACTGGTCATGAAGAAGTTCCTTAGAAAAAATGAAATGTTCCAAGATAGACGGGGCGCGAAAAAAAGGACACACAGGATAAGAATGGCTCTTCTAAACATGAACGAAAAAGAAGAGAACTACTTTCTAATGGATGTGTACCCCTTAATGAAAAGTTATATAAGTGATTGCGTTCCGTGTTATTACCGAAATAGGACGTACATTTTTCGGAAGAGTATACTTAACATTTTCTGTGCCATGATATATAAATTTAAAAAAATAAAATACGTCATAGAAATTTTTGACATTTGTTTGAATCTCATCGTTAAGCAAAATGAAGAATACACAATTATCTGCATAAGAATTATTACTGAAATATGCAAGCTACATAAGAATGATTTGATACTGTTCGACATTTACAAATATGTGAATGTGGTTTCTTTGAATATTTTGAGGGCCTTTTACAAGAGGCTAATTGGTAAGGTTAAAAGAGGGAAGTTTCTAAAATCAGCCATAAATGTGTATAGGAAAAGGCACAAAAAAGTTAGGTGTGTGCGAAGCAGTGGGGATTCCCTAAAGGTAGTTAGAGAAATTATTTTCTCAAATTATGTTTTGATCAACTTATATCCGCATTTGTTAAAGTGTAATGAAGGTTACATAAGAATTTTGTGCAAAATTTTGTCCCTCATTAATATACGGGACTTTATGTATTCCAGGCCGTTCTACATAGAATATATTTACTGCTCAAGAGATCTGATTGGTAAGAGGTGTTACAGTTACCATGTCTTGGATACTCATTTGTCTACAAGGGAAAAAGCCCTCGGGTGGAGCCATCGTTGTGAGGGTGTTTTATGCTCGCGCAAATTCGAAAGGGCTTACAGCTATTTGCTTGAGGATACGACCGCTTTGGAGAGGAAATCCATGAGGGCGAATTCCCAATTTTGCCAAACGGGGGACACTCATGTGTGCAACCCACAGGATAATGTCCCATTGCGTTGCAATGATGAGGGTGCTAACCATTTGGTAGTGAAGACAGGGAAGAACAGTTCCTGCGATGCGTGCACTGATAAGACGCAGACGGTTGATGTGAATAGAAGGTCTGAGGAAAACTCCAGAAACCGCTACGATTACAATGTGCCCATGGCTTCCCTCCTAAAAGATAATTACGGGGACGAGTTAGACGCCGTATTTGGTAATATCCGCAGTTTGTTCTATGGACATGAATTCAAAACAGTGAGGAAGCAATTTTACAAGAATGTGAATTACAACAATTACGAGATTGATTTGTCGAAGGTGTCCCAATTGTGGAGACTAAAAAATATGGTCGTGTACATGCTAATATATTTTTTAAAGATGGATAAGATGAATAAATATTTCCATCATAAAGAATTTCTTATAGAAAAAATTCTTCAATTTTTGAAATATGACACAAAGCATAGCATAGAACAAGGGAAAATATTTATGGAACATATTCGGTTATTGTTACATGACAATTTTAAGGAAAATATGAAGCACTATTTAGCCCTTTTGTTAAATCCAAATACGTACAGCAGCTATTTAGCGTACAAAAATAATGGGCAATTAGATGAACAAGTGTTTATCCTAATACATGACATTTTCTACTACTTTAAGGACCAACCTGTGTGGAATTATGAAGTGCTTAAGGGTTGCATATCTGCATACTCCTTGATCATTATGAGTAAGAAGAGCTGTATCTCCATTCAGAAAGTGTGTGTAAAGTTGCTCGTGTATATAATTGAAATTTTGTTTGCAATGAAGAATAAAAGCTCGCAAAACTTTGCCCTCTATTTTGATATTATGAATATTATGCTGCACAAGAGCCATTCGTTGAAGTGCGAATTGTATGTCCTCTATAGGAAGATGTTGCGCAGGAGTAGGGCTGATGTGATTAGTACAAAATTGGGGACGAAACAGGGCAGAGGTTTTCATCTTGGTAAGAATATCAAATTAGCGAAGAACAAATTGTGTAAAGATAGAAAAAAACTCAAGTACGACTCAGATCATCTGTCTAAATTTGTTTTATCGCGCAAATATTTTCTTCAGAACTGGATTTATAAAGAGCAACATTTGCAAAAAATTAAAGCGCCTTCTAAATATTACAGTCATAAAAATGGAAGAAAAAAGGGGAAGTCTGCATTAAAGAAAATAGCGTTGCTTAATGACTACTACAGGTTGCAGGGAAGTCGCGATCTAAGTGAACTCCTAAAAGAATATAAATTTTTGCTTTATGCCATTTATGAATGTGTAAGAAGCAACATATTTTATATTTATTTGTATTTTAACAAGGAAGCCATTATATGTAAGCTGGATGCAGAAAAAAGAAGAAGAAGTAACATTTCAGAGGATCCACGTTGTGATACTTTAAAGGAGGGGTTAAGAAGCAACGGTGAATATGTGGGGAATCATTTGAACAAGACGGGCGACAATTTGGGTAAGTCCACGGGGAACGAAGCGGCAGTTAATGTGGATATCGTTAACGTGGGCGGTGTAAGCGGACTTGACGACCCCGCAAACGGAAAGAATGCCAAAAAACCTGCAAGTAAGAGGAAAAGGATTAGAAGGACCAGTAGTATAAGCAAGCGGAGACGCCCCAGTCGTGCGAAGAACAGCAATCAAAGTCTGAAAAATGGTAACCCTAATGGGAGCGCCACGTTTCACACAAGTAATGATAACACTGCTTCCAATTTGGGGGGAGTGGTGAAGAATGAATTGGGGCAATCGCTCAGCGCGGGTGAGTATACCAGTAAGGCGGCAAATGGGAAATTAGCAGTATCCAAGAATTGGGCAGCTCCTATCAGCAACACGCCTTTTAATGTGAATTGCACCCAACATGAAGTAAATAAGTATATGGCATTGAACTGTCTGCAGAATAACGATGACCTCCTTATCAGTAATTATAACTGCATTGTGAATAGTGGGGATGTGATTGGTGAAATTAATGGAAGGACCGAATTTGCATGTGCTGTAAAGGATAGTTACCCAGGCACCTCCACAGTTGAAAAGAATTTGCACAGTTGTATGAATAAGTACAGTAAAGAAAATGAGAACAAACAGAATGGTCTTATGTATGCGTGCACTGTGGAAAAGGGAAACAGTTGTCATATGTCCTTGAGTGTTCATAACAATCGAAATGGTAAAGAAATCATTAAGGGGTTGCATTGCGAGTCTGCTAACGAAACACATTTGAATGCACAGGGCCATATTTTTGAAGAGAAGGGGAAAAGTGTAGAAAGGGAATGCGTTACCCAAAATGTCGTTATAGATGATAAGAATAATCACAAGTGTAAAATTGCCAAGAATGAGAACGAGGAAAACGCCTGCAGAATGAATAAGGTGCAACGAAAAAATTCAGACCAGGATTCCGCAGGCGAAGCCCCCGTTTATGACCCTTTTGAAGAGATGTATGATATTTCCAATTTTGACATAATCACTGTACAGTGTACTTTGTTTAAATCGTACGAACTGAGTGAAGCTTGGGTCAAAATAATACACAAAATTTTTTGCCGCATGGTGGCATGCTGCATATTGTACACTTCCTGTTTTTCTTATATTACGTTTGAAAAATGCGGCATAAAAAGTGCAGCTCTAAGGAGGGTTATTAAAAAGAAGATAAAGAACGGTGGATCGCATGTTGGGGGCTACGTTTCTGAGGAGGTCTACCCCAAAGGAGACACATCGCTGAATCGCACATGGCGCCCTTACGTCCACATCAATGTGCACAGGTTGTCTAAGGAGGATAAAAGGAAAGTGTTCAACTGCATCAGCTACATAAAGAATGAAGAGAAGAATTTGCTCTACATGTGTGCTAATAGCATAACTTCTCTAAGTGGGCATGACTTTCTGAATTTTATGAATTATACTATCGAGCCTTTGTTTAAACTATTGTTTCAGTACCCGCAGATATTTTACATTTTTCAAGTGCTCGGTGCAGTGAATAGCACCAGCGTTTTGTTTTGTAAAATTTGTTTTGGTTATATTATTAAGAAAATGAAAAATTTTCCAAGGCTGAAGAATGACTTCAAACCGCTGTCTTATTTCAGCAAAAATGTTAGAAGTAGATTGGCTGCAGATTTGTACATGTGCAGACTTCTCTACAAACTGCAGTCACCCTATGATTGTTTGCTTGATCGAAAGCATTGTGAAACTTTCCAGGTGGGAAAGGACTGTGAACATAATTTATCCCTGAGTAAGGGAAAAAATGGGTCACATGGTGGGAGTGTCAATAATAGCGGGGGTCTAAAGCATGTGTCACTGCGCAAGTGCAGTAGGAAAAGTGGAAACCTTGCGATTGCAAATGGGAAAAGAACAAAAGGATATAGTGCATTAAGCGCACTTGGAATCCAGGTTGATTTTTTCGATTTTCTTATATTAGAAGAATACGAGAATGGAGGCCATGGTGAGGGCAATTCTGAACTGAAGGACATAAACTCGGTTCTGCTGAAGGATGCAAATTTTTTTAAAGAACTAACATACCACAATGATGTGTACATGTCTCCAGTGTTGAGTAGCAGCACTGTGAGCGCAACAAGGATGGACAAATTTTGTGATAAAAAATGGAAAAAGAAAAAGCATTACTTCCTTCATCAGATGGAAGAACGGGACATAATAAACCCGGCCAACTTTGTTTCACCCCATGTTCTTAAGTTCGCAAAGGTGAAGAGAAGGAAGAAGGGCGCATCAGGAAGATATGTCATTTGTGCTAACAGTTCAGGCGGCATAATTTTCAATACACCCGTTTTAAAAAATTCCATGTCTTATGAAGGTCAGCAGGGGATGTATGCCTCTATCAGGAGTATGTCCCCACCGCGTAATTGTACACACAGAAAGGGTGAAATGAACGATCGGCAATTTTCTTATGGGATTTTTTCAAACAAGGGGGGAAGTAAAACGGCAAAGAAGAAAAAGGGTAGTGTGTGCGATGCCTTTATAAGGACCAACAACTACGTTATGGGCTACAATACATTCTGCATGAATAACACCTTTAACAGCTATATGTCATATAAGGATCTAATCATTAAGGTGACACACTTTCTTTTGAAGGTGATAAAATACTACTCAAATTGTTATGATCAATTTTTAAGTGAACTAAGAACCATTACGGAGATTTGTTTGGACATAATTTTAAAAGATAGTAAATGCGTTCAAGTGGTCCATTTGGTGAAATGCCTTCTGGAGACCATCTGTTTTGTAAATTGCGCCAACGAATTGAAGGGGAACAGTGATAATAAAACTGGAATCAATTTTGCACTGAATAATATTTTTCTTAGGGAAAATTTGAGCTACATGAAGTGTATGAAGTATAGTAGTGCGCGTAATGAGGCAAATGAGGAGGGGAACAAATTTGAAAGTGGAGTTGGAAGCGCAATGGGAATCGTAGTCGGAAATGGCGGTATAATGGATGACTTTTTGAAGAAGGAAAATTCAGTGCAGTGCGTCTCCAATGAGGGAAATTATGTTTTTAATGGGAAGGAGCATAAGAATGCGTGTGCAAATGCCTTAGACAAGGAGCCCGTGGGTAGTGGGGCAGTCAGTGGCAAGAACGAAGCATTGCACAGTAATGGCGGAGGTAATAGAGAAACCTGTCACAATGAGCCTGGACAGGCGCGGAATGCAAATGGCGATGGGGTGAATCAGGCGAACGACATAATTGTTAACGTGTTAAGTTGGTTCGAAAATGTGTACCAGGATTTTCCCAAGTTGTATAAAATGATGTTGTGTGAAATGTGCCTGGAGCTCCCAATCAGTTATTTCACGAACGAGCGTTTTCATCTTTACTTGAAGTCTTTGCTAGTCTGTTTGGGATCCAAGAATATGAACAGAATCAGGGTTGCTTTGAAGTCAATGGAAGAAAATATATGTATTCACAATAACAACCATATTAAGGCAAGCATTTCTTCGTCCTTTTATTTTAAGAATAAAGATGGAACCACGTCTTGTATACTAACTCATTTGATGAAACTTTTGAGAAGAAAAATTTCCTTCCAGTTCAACTTTAACAAAATTTACGAACAAAAGTATTATCTGAATGATCTGTTTAGGAACCCCGCAGATATTACGCTGCTCCAAATGGGCGTCATCTACACACAGAAGGTTCTCTCAGAGGGGGAAGTAAATAAATATATGAACAAAGTATACATGGAAAATCTATTTATCATTTTAAAACTGTACTGCAAATTTTGTGACGACAATGAATTAATGAACAATTATTACTTCCGTTTGAATAGTAAGAGGAGCGTAATGTCGCATTTCAGAATAGGTTTTTTTTTAAAGAGGCAATTAAAGCAGTACAACAGAAAGAGGTGTATTCAAGATGTGCACGGTGACAAACTAGAGGGCAAAGCCTTAATGATTAAGAATGAGAAGTTATTAAATGATGAACCCATTTCTATTATAAAGAATCAGCTTGTAGAGGTGAATGACAACCTCCCCCTAAATAGCAAGAAGACATCGTCTCATGACAACAGAAATGTTAGTAGCAGTTGCAACATCTCAGATAGGAACAAAAGAAGGAGAAAAAACATTCCACTGAAGAATGAAGATAAATGCGACCGGGGAATCACCGAAATTAACATTTCGAAGGAGCGTGAGGATAATGTTGAGAATAAAAGTGCCGAAGCGAATGTGCTAAGAAGGGCAAGTAGAAGATCTGCATCTAAAAGAAAAACAGGCGGTATAGTGAACGCAGTAGAGGAAGAGAACAAATGCAATGGCAAGCAAAATGGGCTGTCCCCAATTTGTAATGAAAACATTATTAAAGAGATCAAAAGTAATAATGAAGGACAGAACAAAAAAAAAAAAAACACTGCGCAGAACAGTAGCATAGTAAATGTGGGCATTGAACAGGTGAAGGAAAAGAAGGATGAAGCAGATCGAGGTAATGTGAGCTTGGTGAAATTACTCATGAGTGGTAGCACGTCCGATCACGCGTTCGATAATATTATACAACACATCGATTTGGAAGAGACGCTGAATTATTGCTACAAGGTTTTGAAGAATAACGTAAAGAGCAGCAATGCCAAGTGCTTATACTATTATAAGAAGCCGATGATAAATGCGCACATGAGAAGCAAACTTTTTGTTAGGAAAAAAGCGAGAATATGTGTTAAGAACAAATGGAAGAGAGAAAAATTCTGCCTGTTCAATTTTCACGAGTTAGCAAATCTGAGGAAGAGAAAGATGAGCGCACAGGATGAAGTCGCTACAGATAAAGGGTCGAACAAGAAATTGAGAGTTTGCAGTTCCCGAAGAGACAGGAACGACAAATTGGTACATTCGAAATGCAGCAATGGAAAGAATCATTTAAGCGTCATGGCTGAAGTGAAGCAACCTATTTTGAAAACCACGAAGGAAATGGGTGTAACACAGGAGGGTGCATTAGGGACCAGTTTGACGCACAAAATAGAGGGCATTTCCCATGGAGATGCAAATTACACCAAAAGAGAGGGCACCCGTTTTGCTAGCACAAAGAAGCTACTTTTCACAGGAAACAAAAGTGTCAAAGCGTATAAGCGATTTATCGACAACGGCGAAACAAAATATTTCGACAAAAGCGACCTATGCTATTATTGCATTTTGAAGGACCAGCGAATTAGCTGCTACCGGGTAGTGCTGAGCATTTTTATTTTTATTTTTAACCACTCAAAATGTATTTCGGATTTTTACCAGTATATGATTACAGTTGGTTCTCAAAGTGGAGAGTTTAAGAAGGGTAAGAAAAATGGCCCGGGTGCGATTAAAGCCCAGAATTCGTTAGATGCACCCACAGCGAATAAGATTAATCAATGTGGTGACACAGTTGATAATAATGGGAAAGGATCTTTTAAATGTTTTAGCAGCAGTGTTCCAGAGGAACAATCCGCCAATGAAAATGTGGACAAGGTATGTAGTGGCCCCAATGAGAATAATCCGTTATTGAAGGCAAAAGTGCATAATGTGCATCGCAAAAAGGGGAAGAATAAATTCTCTTTCGAAACGTGCAAATGTAGGAAGAATTTGCACAAGTATTCTTTCATCTACAATGATAACAGCGTGTTTATGAAGAAGTTGATGTACTGTTTTTTAGTCATGTTAGTGGAAATAAATGAGAGAGCAAAAAGTGACGACGCTGGGAAAGAAACGGACGGGAGAAATGCCAAAATGATCGAAAAGGGTGGAAACAACTGCCGAATGATATGCAGTGACGAAATGTGGAAAACGAAATTGAAAGAAATAGTTAAAAACGTTGTTAGAAGAATTGGGCTGATACTTTCGAGCAGATTTGTTCTAACACGAAGGCAGAAATTAATACATGTTGGAAGCCACAACAATGAGATAGATGTATCGTCGTTCATATTTACATTGTGTAGGTTAGTCGATTATCACCCGCGTTTTTTACAAATGAGCATTGAGGTATTGAACTTTATGGAAAAAATATTAAAAACGATATTAAATGTGCAACCAGTGAAGATGAAGACAGGCATGAAGTGCACCTTTTTTTTTAATTTGTGCGCCTGCATCTGTAACCTTTGTAATGCTATCAAAGTGAAGCAAAAAATATTCGGATTGTTACTCCTGTTGAGAGTAAGCCGAATTTTGCCACCTTACTGGATCAGATTTAACGTATATAATATTGTAAGGGCATTGCTAGCGTGTCAAGAAAGGACCCAATTAAAATATATGCGCATTGTGCAGTTGTTAGTAGATGAATGCTTTGCACTAGTAATTTCGTCATTATTTACAGGTTATGTTGGGGAAGTTAACACGTACATTTTGAATAACTTCCGGGGTATAGATAATACCTTTGTGCATGATATTATGAATTTATGTGCCCTAAATCATAATGATGATGAAGTGAGGCTGAGGCATGTTGAACGTATTAGGAACAGTGCAATTTGTAAAATAAGAAGCAATGTGGAAATGATCAGATCGTTTTGGAGCCAGAGTAATAAAGAAGTGAACCGTATTGACGATTCGAATGATGAGCACGCGAAAAATGTGAGGAACAAACGACGTTGCGGAGATACACACTTTTGGTACAAATACGATGAAGTTTACACATGGGATATCCTATCGGCAAAACGAAAAAATAGAAGAAGTGAAAATGAGGTGAAAAGGATGAATAAGATTTTGGTGAATATACTAAGAATACTTATGTACAATTTAACCAAGAAACAACACGACAGACATTTTATAAAAAGAGCATTCATTATTATCTCAAAAGTATTGAGAGCAGATACACGGGAATTGCTAGCTTATAAATATTTACCCAAGAGAGATTTATGCTTGCATGACGTTTTTATGAAGCACTTTTCTATATCGAACTTTTCCAAGGCATCGTTGAAGCGTAAAATTTCGTACCTCGATTTTTACAGTTTTTTTTTATCTCAAAAACCGTATATTAGAATTGATTTCCATGTGGTGATAAATTTGATAGAAGCTGTTGTTAACATTATAGAGTATCTAGAAAAAAGGGACGAGGAGAATCGGATTTTTAATTACATTTTGAATGGCAATGTTTATCGTTCTTGTTCGAAGGATGGCGGAACTTTAGACCTTTATGAGAGAACAGATCTGAGCTTCCTTTATGAAAAGAAGGCAAACAACAACCATAGCATGGATAACGCGCGTCACGTGCACCACGCACATCACGGGTGGAAGAGTCAGAACAGGAATTATTTGGGGGAGAATGACGGGGAGGCATATAATTTGCGCACAAACAACGTTTATGTTAAACATTTAAATGTAGGTAATAAGTGGGAAATTCCCTCTAATCAAAATGAGGGGGAAGGCGAAAATGTGGTCCATTATAAAAACTGGAACGATGAAATAAATATTTTGCAAAGCACTGTTCCGAATGGTTATAGTAACCAGCTGAACAGCCAGAAGAATAAAGACCTACAAGATTTGTATGAAAAAATTAAGAAAAAAAATAGAGACTATTCCATTTTGTATAGTAAAGAATACACAACCAAATTGGATAACAAGAATGAAGAGCAAAGGAAAGATATAACCATTGAGGACATAGCTAACAAGTGGGGAAATCATACTGACAATATGTCTACTCGTTTTAAAATTTACGCTGATGATAAAAATAATGAGGACATCCATAGTATAGATAAGCACTTGAAGTGTGAAGATGCAACGAGCAATAAAAGCACTAATTCTTATCATTTTATATATTTTAACAGCAAATTGACTGCAGAAGATGACAAGAGTGTTGTCGCAAAACATGGTAGCTCACATGGGAATGATGAACTGAACGTGCAAAATAAAGATGCGTTGGATAAGCACACAGCAGGTTATAATTGCTACATGGGTGCGAACAACGTGGAGAATATGTCCAAACGAGGGGAAACTCTTTACGTAGATCAAAACTGTAAGGGAAAAAACGGAAGCTCTCTTGTAAAGGGTACGATAGAATATGGAGTTTCAAGCGACAGGACGGTGGGTGCTGCTGTCAATTTGTGTAACGGCAAAATGGAGAAAGAGGGGGGTGTACTGGATAAGACGACCAAGGATGGTAGTAGCAACGCCAATAACGGAGGCAGCAATTATATAATAGAAGAGGAGGAACAGAAGCGTAAAAATTGCGTTGTGCGCAACAGCATCTCTAGTAACACTTCCACCGATCTTTCGAAGATTAAACTGGAAAATTTAGGAAACGCTAGTACCAATTTTAAGGAGGAGAAGAATAACTTTGTTCAAACAAACAAATGTTTGTTAAGAAGTCATATGAAAAGTTTAAACGAATCCAACAGGAATACTGTAACCGGTGGTGGAAAGACGTGGAATGGCAATGCAAAGGCCAGTCATGGAAATTGTTATCAGGATTTTTATTTCAATGGCAAAGAAAGAGACGAGGAGAAAGACGGGAGCACGTCCTTCCATGAGAATTTTATGGGGATACCTGATGTTAGCTCGGATTCGGTTCCAATTAAGGATAAAAAGGAAAAACTGGAGAAGGAATTTATTAAGGAGAAGTTTTCACAAGATCGTAATGCAAAGGGTGATTTCACGAGTGGGCACACAGCAAATGGGAACATTGGAAATCTGCACACTGGGAATGAATCCTTTGCGAAAGAGCATCTAGCGAAGCAGCAACTTCTAAAGGAAAAGTACAAAACGGTTATTGAGTTTTTTCTGTATTTCATGACCTTTGTGAGGATTTCTTTCAGCCACGAGTTATACAAATATGTGTTGCCCACCATGAATGCCCAAATAAATAAAAAAAGTGTGTACCTGTACAATCGGTGCATTCACATTTTAGTGAATTTTTTGTTTAGCAAGGATAATGAATTATGCGTTAAGGCAGAAAGCACTTTGCGGTTTTTGATTGCTATTAATGAGCATGATAAAGATTCGGGGCTGAACGATAGCTCGGTAAAGAATTATGGGAAGAGTGGAAACTGTGTGGATAAAATTTCGAGTAAAAATGGGGGTCACTATAGCCTTGCCAAAATAATGAATATGAACAAGAATTTTACAAATGTATGGAAATTGAATAAAATGGACTTGAAATTATACTTAAAGTCAATACTGTGCAATTTATCCTATGCTCTACGAAATAACGGTTGCGTTTTGAAGAAAAGTTTTATTATTGGTCTTAGCAAAATATATTCATTTTTTCCCCAACTGTTTTCTCCTCATTTGACAGACGGATTTGTGCAGTATGTAAAATTATGGAATGACAAATGTGGGCAGGATAAATTTGTTCTCAAGAATGTTGAGCAGGTGATGGAAGTGTTTTGCAGTTTTTTTACCACCTCTAAATTAACGTATGGCCAGTTTCAGGAAATTATCGATTTGTTGTTTGGTATATTGAGGCGAACGCAGAAGAGGAGTTCCAGTGCTCTTCCCCATTTAGGCGAGTTAAACGTGTTGGACCGGAGTGGAAAACGAAGTAGCGGCGCGTCTAGTGGGGAGAATCATGCTGGAAGTAATAATCAGAGCGTGTCCAAAATTGTGTACGTCACCGGGGAAGTGCATCCGGTTGGTCATTCTGTAGAGGTATGTGTGAATAAAAATGCAGTAGAGAGCGCAAATGAAGTTGAAAAAAAAGTACTTGAATATTTCATAACGAATTGCAGTAACAATGAGAAGAGCGAAATGAACACATGTTTCATGCGTGCGTTAAGTCTGCTGTGCTCCAACAATCACGAACACGCGCTGAAGTACTTTATCCAGCAGAGACATAACCAGAATGTGTTTTCCCGTTTTGTTTCCACGATAAGAGGTAAAGATCAAGTGGCGTTTCGAAAATACATTTGTAAGAACATTCCTGCCCTTGTTAATATTCTGTTAAGATTTATTTGCGACTTTAAACCGAATGAATTCCTGATGCAAGTGTTCAGCATATGCCTTTTTAGTGTTAACGATGGGGATTTACGGGAAGTAATTTCGTTCGATTGCTCTAGGATGAAGGAATATGCGAATAGAAATGTTGATACTAATTTGAAGGAACATAGTTCCCCCCATTTATACAGGGGCGAACGTGTTGGGGAAAGAACGAACGGAGATGCTCACAGTGGGAAGTACAACGAAGGACATGAACTAAGATGCGTCCCAATTATGAACGCCAGTAATTTTCTTGTCAACCTTTTCAGCGTTATAAACGTTGTACATGCAGTACTGTTGTATGAACCGTCCTGGATATTTCTCAATTTTTACGAGGACAGAGTTAGGAAGAATAGAACAAGCCTAATCGAGGTTTTGTATTTGTGTTTAGTCCATTTGATTAGTCAGTATTTATCTTTCGATAAGACTAATTTTTTAACTTTTTTACGGAGCAGAGAATGCAAAAAATGCGTTAAAATATTTATTGTGTTTTTTCACTTTTCGCGTGATTTGCTCAGGTGTGTAGTGTTTGACTCTGTTCCCCAGGAGAATTGTGTGACACCTAGCAGAGCGCGTAAAACCTTAGTGCCAACTAAAAACGGTAAAAGGGATGACATCATATATGATAGTATGAAGTATAATGGTTACCTGTTTTTTCTGAGAACCAATTTGCTCATTATACTGGTTTTCATCGTATGTACAAAGAGGGATGAAGATTACAGCTATTTACACACTTTTTTTAAAAGGTGTACAAGGAAAGGCTTACGATTTAGGGAAAAACGATTTTTGTTTTTTACGATTGTACGTATGTTGCATAATTTTAACGCACCCATTTTGAATCAATTTTTTGAGACGGCCCTACGGTTTTTTATCATGCCTATACTGAAAGAAAATATCCAGAGAGCGGAGAACTTAAGGTACATCACCTTTGAGGGTGAGAAATGTGAATCAAACTGTAGTACATATGAAGAAGGAATAATCAGTGCATTACAACTGAATAGAATGATCATGAGTGTACACACGAAATTGTTCACGCAAGCAGACACGAATCAGATTAGCCGAAGTGAGAAAGGCAATTCATTAAGATCTGATCACAGTTGCAGGACTAATTTGTTTAATGCTAACTCGTACTATAATGGAAATGCGGTCGTTTCCAGAATTTGCAATAATGTCAAGGTAGGAAACAATTACGATTATGCAGGCGATGCAAGCTATTGGAAAGATCAAAATGGTGTAAGTGGTTCTAATAATAATGCGTATGTTAATTTAGCAAGGAATAATATTTGCGCATCTGCGTTCATTAGGAATTCACACAATTGCACATTTGTACATAATTTGAATGATAACGTTTGTTCAGGTTCAAATAATGACTACTGTTTGTTCTATATATCAATTCATGGGTACAGGAAGAACGTGCAACTTTATCGTTTTTACAACCATAGTTTGTTTCTTAGTATAAATGAAATTTTGTACACGTTGAAGGCGCTACTACGAGGGGGATCTCATTCGAATGAAGTTATCATGCACAAATTGGACATTAGCAGAATGGTTGTAAAACTCATCAGAAGGATAAAATGCAAGAAAAGTAACATGATAATGCTCAAATATGTAATGATGTTTAACAATGAGCATGTGAATTCCCCGTGTGATGATGTAAAGAGGTTAAGCATTCGAAACATTATCAACGCTTGTAAATATAACCGTAATAGCGATTGGACGGAGATTTATCCGCATTTGCTTCATTGCTATAAGAATGCAGAAAATAATTTAATGAAATTAAATTTAAAGGAGCTAAAGAAAATGATCTCCCAGAGGAGACAACAACATGGGAAGTATTCCAGCACGGCCAATGTTTTACTTCGTCAAATAAAAAGAAGCCACATGCATTTTTATTATTGCAATAATTATAGTGGAAAACGGACCGTGATTGGTAATAGGAAACGAAGCTTCGTTTTTAACGCCCATGTGAATAGGTTCTTTAGCAAATTGGACAAAGGCACGCATAACAGAAGACATTTGGTCTGCAAAAATAGGCATATACAAAATTGCGCATTATTCAACCATAGAAGAGCCATTCTTGGATATTTTAAGAAGGACAAAACTGTGTTTAATAGAATGCACATTTTAAAAGTTGCGCTGGATTACAAGTACGATTTTTTTAATGTATACCCCTACGTGATAGCTTCAATTTTCAAGAATTTCGCAAAAATGACGCGTCGCGCATGTATTAATGCGAAAAGGAAATCCCTTTTGATTCGAGCATTAAATGTTGCACTATCATTTATAAAGTTCAATATCTTCTGCAACTCCGTTCATGAGCTGTTTAGTTTGGTAAATGATGAAATAGTACTCAGGGAAATCAATCCCCTGGGAAGGAACGATATACAGGACACGAGCACATCGGAAGCACCTGATGGAAAGCATGTACACCATGTAAAAAGTGACCCTTGTTCATTACGCGAATTGCGAAGTAGAACAAAGGTCCTTAGGGCAGAACAGGCGAAGCATGATATGATTGAGCAGAACGTGAAAATTGGGGAAAGGACGAGAAACCGAAAGAGAGAAGTTATCATTGCACGTGACAGTGGATGCATTTCTGCACAGCTAGGGGAGGATAACAAACAAATTAATAATAGAAGCGGTGGTGCAGTTCTGCATGGGGATTCTATGCGAAAGAACAAATCTGCCTTAAAATTGTCCAAGCTTGCGGAAGCCATGTTAAACTATTATATAAAAACTGGAAAAGGTGAGGAGAAAAGGCACCTGTTCCTCATGGGTCTTGTGAACGTATTTAGGAAGTACAATCGGATATACGTTAACTACAGCATATTAAATGTACTGACAAATTTAATTATTTCGAGTCTGATGCAACATGGAAACGAACTGCACGAAACCAAAATGACTAATAAAATTTTGAGCATTTTTGAAAATATACTGAGAATTAAAAATAACGTAAAGATAAAATATGTAGATGTGTACAAAACGCTCATGTGCTTTTATTCTATAAATTGCACTACAAAGGAGTATATCAGGAGGGGGAAAGGAAAGGGTGTAAATAAGCCCCAAGTGTGTGATGATGGCATGTTACAAAATTTACTTCACAATATTATTTCTTTAGAAGTACAGAACAAGGGAAGCGGAAATGGCGAAGTAGCTGTGCGTAGCTTGAGTGGGTTGTCCAGTTATTCCAAGGAAGGAGCATTTGCAAATGAGCACGGTTTTGGAAAGGAAGATCAGGTAAGTGCCTTTTCATGCACAAATGAAATGACATACACTTTTACGAACAATTCTGAAGGAAAGGAATGGTTTAGTGGATTTTTAGTACAGGAAACATTACCCAATGGCAGTTTTGTGGATGACACATTCAGTAGAAATGGAAAGAGTTCTATTTCGCAAGATGGGCAAAATAATTATTTAAGGGACGGAAGCCTAAGTATTGCTCCCAGTAGTTTTAACGGAATAGATAAGGACGGAAAGGATATTGCTGACAAGTCGAAAGTGGTTAGCTCTTTGAAGAATGTTCTACTGAATGAGATGGGAATAGGTAATGAGAGGAAAATATTTATGCTGAATGGACTGTTTTCCAGTGAGGAGAACTATGCAGAACAAATTAGCAACGCGTACCAAATGATAAATAAGGGATATGGGATGAACATGGTGAAAACCATTTATAGGGTTTTAAAAGTGCTGATGAAATATTCGAATAGAAAAAGCGTTTGCAAAAATTTGCATATTCTAAGTTGTATTTTCTTTTTATTACTCAATTTTGACAACAAGAAGGTCCAAAGGGCAACTCTATTATTAATAAACCACATTGTAATAACGCACAGTTTGTTCGTGGACAATTTTGACAGTATAATCCGTAGAATTAGCCACCAAGTGGAGGAAAATGGCCATCAGGATGAACCTAAGCAAACGGGTCTTAATGAGGAAAAAGAACGCAAGAAGAAAGAGCCACATTTCATTTTTAATAACGAATTTGAACAGGAACGAAATGTCTCTAGTAAAATTGAATTTTTGCATGAAATGTTAATTGACCTATGCATTAGGGGAATGGACGTATATAGGAAAAACAGCAGGGAGTATTATATGGATAAGACGCTGTACGTAGAGGGAAAATTGGAAACGAGCCTGAATATATTTACTTTGTTCTGTCAGGTTTATAATAGAAATGGTGGGAATGACTACGCACAATTGATTAGGTTTCTCATTTTGGAATACCTAAAAAGGTTGAGATGCATCGCTTGTTACTGTTTGAGGAAAAAGAGAAGAATGGCAACCCTGAAGCAGTTGCTTTTTTTAATAAACACAAACCTGCATTTAGTAGATAAGAAGGAGGCTATAATATGCTTGGAAACCATGCAGGGCTTACTTCAGTTGGAGTGCAAAAATGGTTCAAACTTTTATTTGTTCATTTTGAATATGTTTGAATATCATTTAGCGCATTCGCAAAAAGGTGTGGAAGGATCAATGGAAAGTTTTTCCACAGACGTGATGTCCGACCGTTCTACCTGCCCGTGGTCCATAGAGGAAGAAGAGAAGGAGCACAAAATTACAAATAAGACACGTGTGAATCATTTAATAAACGAACTAAGGGACAAGAAGTTGAGCAGTTTTCAGATCAGTCATTATATTAACTATATAAATAGCGTGCACGATGAGGCAGACACATGTAATTATATGCACAATTATAGAATAGCGCGGAGGTACTTCCTTTCCATCGACAGGATAATATATGAAAGAAGAAGAAAAAACTACTTGAGGAGCAAAATGTATTGTAAGAAAATGCACCATAGGAAGATGATAAACGATTTGTATGCACGTTTTTTCTGTAGACAGGGCGGTAACAACGGCTCAGGGATCAACCATTTGAAGAGAAATGTACAGGTAAGAGATGTTCAAAGGGGGTGTAGGAATGGCGCAAAGAAGGCTGAAACAAATGGTATGAAAAATTGTAACAGAACGATGGTTGGAAGCGAAGTTGTGAACCCGCATGTTAGGGGCATCACAAAACTGAGGAAGGAGAAGAGAAGAAAACGATTTTATAAAAGACTGAAATGTTATGATAACATCTTTGAGGCGTACACCATTGAGGAAAATCTATGCAACGATTTATTTTTGTGCAAAAAGAGGAAGAAGTTGAAGACGTTTTGGTCATGCACGAAAAATGAAAAGGTAGGTATATGCCTATCATCGGAGGAAAAGGCACATTTAATTAGAAATTTAATTATGTTTGATTATTCGGATGACTACCATTGTTATGTAAAATATTACGACATATTACTGTACTTTATTAAAAGTGAAAAGGAGACGTATTCTGAGAGGTACCACGTTATCGATTTGAAGAATATGTTTTTAAAACCCCTACTGCCAAACATTTTAAGGGGCACGTTTTCATTTATTCCGAAGGTTAGAAACACTTGTATGCACCTTTTTCAGAAATATTTTCTGCCTAACGATCTCTTTGGTGCCATTTGTTTTCTATTTAAGAACGACTATTTTAAGCATATCATTGATAAGTATTTTGTGTGTCTATTTTTAAATGTGTTGTTTTCGTTCTTTAAGAACAACGCGGATACGTATCTATACTTGAAGAATCGAACGCAAGGCTTGGTACCCTTTTTGTGCAAGCGCAAGTGCGCGAAGCGGGCAGCGTTTACTTATAGAGCAGTTAGTGCAAATGCGTGGAGGCAGACTTGTTCTGAGAAAATGAAAAAAAAAAAAAAAAATTTCAAGCCAAGGAAAGCGTGTGCGGTCATCAGCATGGAAAATTACAACAGCGATTTCGTTACGTGGAAGCGCTACTTAACAAAATATTGCTCGGAACAACAAAGTTTCGTGAACAAGTGTCAAGAGAAGTTTATCAAAGCAAAATATTTATTTAATCCAATTCTCAGTTTGGTAAATATTTTTAAGGAATACTGTAGAATGGTGTGGATAGATCTATTTGCGCAATTGTTTAATTTTTTAAGTAGCGAGCAAATTAATGAATTAAATTTTTGCATTGTTCACTTTTTGTACAATTATATCAATTTCCTGGAAGCATCTAATAATTATAAGATGTCCATGTCGAGAGAGGGGAACAACATAGGCCCTTCTACTTTCAGCATGAGCTGTAGAAAAAACAAAAATTTTCAAAATAATATGTATGCAAATGACTATAACGTAAATGTGTTAGAAACTACCTTGACGTGCATATTTAAGACCGACATTATGCTATACGTTCCCACGGAAATAATTTTATATTGCGCGAAGAACTTTTGTACTTATGAAATTTCCAAGTGTATGTTACAAATGTTGTTGTTTTATAATTTGAGGAAAATGAAAAAGTTGGGTAAGCGAGACGAAGTAGAAAATGTGCTCCCGATTGAGGACACCAAGGGAAAGCAGCCAACTGGTGCGAATAAGATGGCCACGCAGAAAACAAGCAGGAGTAAAAATAAGAGGCAAAGCGAAAGTGCAACTGTGAATAACACTGGAGTCTCAAATGACCGTGCGCAGAGCAAGTTGGTCATTACCCCTAAGAAAGAGGACCCCATTTGCGCAATAAAAAAAAGCTACAACAGTTACAAGCAAATCATCAACTGTTTAATAGAAATAAATAGCGACTTGAATGAACGTGACAATGTGTACGCTCTGAGGACATATTATGTGAGGAACATTGAATTATCCAAGTCTCTTTTTTTTAACCATTACAATTTGTACTACAAGAATGAATATTCCTATTTGAAGCATTTTATGAGCTATGAAAATCTGAACTTAACAAAGGAAGAATTAGACATCAACAGAGTGAATTGGATCGACAGTTTGAAATACTTCAGTAAAGTATCCTGTATCGAGAGCTACATGAAGTTAATGCAAGTGAAGGAGGGAATGAGAAAGAATGTGGACTCCAACTCATCCCAGTTAAGCACCTGCGTTTTGTTATCTGAGGAAAGAAAAGATGATTCAATTGTGCTGAGTTGCAACTACGAAACGTTAAAGGGTAATTACTTAACGAATTTGAATAATGTGTACGGCATATTAAAGGACAGTTTGAAATATATGCATGTGCAGGATAACATAGAAAGGAGCAGCGCGAAAATCAGCAGTGATGTTAAAGATGGTGGGATGCACCCATGTTGCGCACCGGGAGAATCCCTCAAGCAAGAGTCCAAAAAGGGTGACGATGGCGGAATTGCCCATAGTCCCGATAATGGCAATGAGGCAGTTGTAACTGCAAAGAAGGATATGGAACCGTTCAAAAAGGACAGCGCCAACTCGAGAAGATCGCGAAGAAACAGAAGCAACAACTTAATTAACTCAAAGTTGAACAAATCGAAGGACGGAAAAATACAAACAACCATTCATGATTACTTTAAGAGCAACAAGAAAACGTTACCGGAGAACCAGGAGGCAGGAACGAACAATGAAGGGTATAACAAGGAGGTAGGCAATGCGGCAAAGCAGACCAGTGAGAAATGTCCGAATGTCGAGGGAAGTGCGCACGATAGCAACAGCAGACGTAGTAGCAGGCGAGACGCTATAAGTGATAGTAAACTGAATTGCATTACGGACCGTATTAACAAGTGTGGCGAGGGTATTAATCCTAATGACAACCACAGAAGTAGTGAGAATATGCGAAATGATAATTACAGCGCCAGTTACAGCGGTGGTAGCGCTGGCTGCGGAGGCAGCGGTAGCATTGCCCATTTGTTGAATGGTTTAAGCGGTTACGGGGATGGGGACCAGATGAAGAACATCGTGTATTCCTACTTGGAAAAAATAATCTACAAGTTGCAGGAGAATAGTGACACAATTGTTGAGAGCATGCAGGGTAAGGAGAACTTCCAAATTGACCAGGTCAGCGTCGAAAAGAATGTCCAAATGAATGCTGAAGAGAGAGAAGAAGCGAAGGTGAGAGGGTGCACAGGTGTAGCGGGGAATGCGTTCGAAAAGATGGTGTGGGAACGAGGAAGCGCATTCAATGAAGGCAAACATTTTGTGGGTAACTTGAATGACGAATGTAGTGCATTCCTTGTGAAAAAGTTCAAATTCGATTTGAAGAGTAAACACATAAGAACAGTTAAAGAAAACATAGACGATGGAATGAATCTGCTAATTAACAAAGTGAGGCAAGTGTGCAATTATAAAAACAACAATTTGAGCGTTTTATTTGCACACGCGGAAATGTTTGAACATGCACAAAGGAGCATAGAAATAATAAAGGAGAACTCGCTAAAAAAAAAACAAGCACAGAAGGAAGAAAGTGAATTGCAACTAATATGCTTATTGCATAATTTGTTTATCATGTGCAACAAGGACAATTCTGTGTACGTTTATGATGATATTCATAATATGAAATATGCATACCAATGGAAGCTGCTTTTTTTTAAAATTTGTAAAATGTTTATGGACGAATGTGGTCTGTCACCCTTTTCAAAGGTGGGTTGCACCGAAATGTCTAGTGACATGTGTAAGAATTATCAATTATTAAATCTGATGAAGAAGATGAGAGAGATGAACAATATGTCGTACAATTATTTTGACAAGCTTTATGAGAATTTTGTGCACAATGGTAGTAGCAACAGAAGCAGCATCATCTGCAGTAGCAGTGGAGGCAGCATTAGCAAGCAAGGTAGTAGCACCGGAGGCAGAGTGCTCGATGCCAGATGCAGCTACATGTATAACATGGAGATTATAAAAATGAATTTGAAGAAATTAATCAACAGTAACATCTCAAACAATAGCTATAATATAGCACACAACATGTTGGAAAAGCACAGCAGTCTTGTTTGTGATGAAGCCGAATTGTGCAGAAAGAAAAATTGTTATAAAAAGGAAAAAAAGCCAAACATCTCCCATGAAGACAATTATCTATACATTCGAAATATGGAGTACGAACATTTTAACATATGTATTAATTTGCGAAAATTGGGGAAGAATAGATTTCTTCACAAAGTTGTAAAAAAACTCAAGTGCTGCATTAACTCACTTAATCTTATTAACACATTTGACTTTGACTCTCTGCCAATGGTCAGCTATGAGAAATTTCGCAGTGAGTTTTTCTATATGAAGGGGAAGATTCTGTGTAACATGAATAGGATTATTACATTTTTGTATAAGAATAATTTTATTGAAAAGAATTCCAAGCTGAACTGTGACAGATGTAGGTACATGTGCCAGGAAAGCACAAGGCAGGATGAAGAAGGCTATGGGCAGATTAGTCCTGGTCTGGTTCTCCATACTCTGGGAACCCCGCACAACACGCAGGAAGAAAACAGTATGAACATTCCCAGCACAGTTGTTAGTAACAATGATGCCTGCAGCCCTATTAAGTCGGGGGAAAATAAAAAGAACAAGAGGAGAAGAAAAGGCACAAATGCTGCCAACGAAACGTCGAACCGTTTGGAGGAAGAAATATTCCACAGCAGCATTGCTGAGGAAAAAAAGGATGAACAGGTGGATGATAAAATTTTGAAAAGGAAGAAAAGAAGTAAAGTTAGTAAGTCAGTTAGTGAAACTGCGGAAGATAGTGAGAAAAAGAGCGTACAAACGAATGGACAAAGTCCTTTGCATGAGAAGGAGATGGATACCCCGAACGAAGTGAGTGACTGCCGAGAATCCAATAAGGAACAGAAAAAAATAACAAAAAAAGGAGATAGAAAAAGACAACAGACGAAAAACAGCGCGGAGTACACTTGCAAATGTGATCATAAAAAGTGCAACCTATTCGATGGGAATTTAATTGAGGAGTGCTTTCTGTCGTCCCTGAAAATATACCCACTGGAAAACAATTCTTGGGCTCTGTGGGCTGACTATTGCAAGAAAGCTTTTAAGGAGAACAAAAACATATCATTCTGCTTAAGCTCCATAATTTCTTATTTAATATACTCCAGCTTAAACACACACGAAGGGTACTACCACCTAAGCAACGTCCTCTATTTGCTAAGCTCTGATATGAAGGATAATTCCATTATGCAAGTTTTTAACAAATACAATGATAATATATGTCCGAATCTTTGGCTGTTCTATTTGCCGTTCTTAATAAACAATATAAATACTAACAAGGACAATTATTTGTATTTTCACAAAATTTTGTATGTTCTTATGCGCAAGTTCCCCCAAGATGTGTTTTACCATTTTAGAGCGCTGCAAATTGAGAGAAATGTTAAACTGTACTACCTGCAGGAGCGTAGGAACAAGAAAAAAGACATGGGTGAAAATTCCCCTTTATTGAAAAATAACGTACATATAGTGAATGACGCTGATGGCGTAAGGAATAATACGACAAAATTCCAAATGGAGGATGTAATATTTTTCTGTGATGGAGGGAAGCACAGTGGTGGCCACAACCTAAGAGCTCATGGTTCGAAGAGTGGCAGTGGTGCATGTGCAGGAGACAATGTGACTGGTGAGAATGGAACCGGTAAATTGTCCATGTTAAGTGAAGCTGACGCAGCGGCTGACATTCCCAATCGGAAACGAAGTCAAGTTCGCAGTGCACGCGGAGCAGTTGCCAATGCGAGGTTGCATGTGAACGGTAAAATCGAAGAGCAGAGTGAGAACATCATCAAGGGGGCCTATCAAATGAGCGAGAAGGATGCTACCCCTACTGCCACAAATTCTCCCGTCCGGGAAAAGCAAAAAGGGTACGAGTATGCAGACCTATTTACGGACGTTTTTGACCAGTTGATGAATGTGTTTAAAAGCAAACATGTGGATGTATATTTGTGCCTGAATTATATGTGCAATGAAATTTTAAATTATACCCGATTGCAACCGCATGAAGAAACATACTACATGATAGGCAAGATACTAGATCGATGCATGGAATTCCCCTACGCACAAACACACGTGTCGACGTTTATTCAAAATATGACAGAAAAGTATATTTTGTACAAGCGATATAAATCAAAAGTGAAGAAAAATTACACAGGTAGCCGAAGGAACAGAATAGCTATTAATAATATGAATCTGTTTTGGAAGGAATTTAAAAAGGATGTAAAATTGTTAAAGAGAAATGTACGTATGAGGAGAGGAAGCATGAAGCATGTAGATATTAAGGAGAAGGGAAACTTGAAGTCGCATATAATGAACAGCTACACAGGAGGGGAAGAGAACACAGGGCAAGCTGTAACTCCCCAGGGTGGTGAACTAAGTACGAAAGGTCGAAAGGATAACTACTTCTCCTTGGAAGAATTTCCGCAAGTTGCTAAAAAATGGAAGGACATACTATTTGTAATTATTCATTCTTTGAATGAAAATCAAGGGTTCGATTATTTTTCCCATCCCTTGTTTGATATGTTTTCCAATTTTCCCATAAAAATAGAATTACCAGGTCGTAGGGTAAAATACATAGGAGAGCATTTAAACTATCTATACGATTTAAATTTATATTGCCCTACGAGCATTGTCAAGTTGAACAAGCCCATAATGCCCACAGTTATAAGTAATAATTGCATGAAGAGGATTAGCTTCCTAAGCAGCGATGGAAATATTCAGCACTACACCGTACAGCCTTGTAATTCTATGCGGAGCACGTCAGAACATAAGTTTACGCTGTTTCAAATTTTGATGAATAATATCATGTTTAAGTTTTCCCATACGAAGAAGAGGGGTCTTTCCTTTGGAATAAATATACATACCCCCCTGCACCCAAGTTTTAGATTAAAGGATGAAACGTGTGAGGACATTTCGTTGAAGGAGCTATATAATGATTACACAATGGTAACGAAAAATGAGAATTATTCGCTTGACAATATATTACTACATCATAGAAATCTTATAAAGAATTCAATACGCACATTTTTGCTGAACAAAGTTGAATGTGTGGTGAGGGAGAAGGAGCTATCGATGACGGAAAGAAACAAAAGGAAGAGCAGTTTGCCAGATAAAAGGAACGAAAAAAAGAGCACCTCTGTTGTTCATAAATCCAAGAGTGATGATATTGCCAGAATAAGAGCCACAGGAGGTATCGTAAAAAATAATATCCTGAAAAGGAACTGTAGTGATGTGTTCATGAATACAAAAAGAAGTTCTAGTAACTCCAGTTTCTGTAACCCTTTTAAAAATGTTGAAGGAATGACGTGCAAGACGCAAATGGATTATTACAATTCCTTATCGTATGAAGAACTAATCCAGAACTTTAGAACCAAGGAATGGTTTAGGAAGTCTTTCAAAAAATGCGTGAGAAGAATTGTAAAATCACACTTCAAAGATATCTGTAAAATGGTGCCGAAAAATATAATGAAGAATTACTTCTACTCTCTCCACAACAATTTAGAAAGTTACTACGTTATGAATACCCAATTTGTGAAGAGCTACTCTCTGACGTGTATGTTAAATTACATTTTTTTTCAACAGAGCTCATCGCTAGATACGATTATCTTGTCTAAGCGCTCAGGAAGAACTATGTATTTGGAGGGGAAACCGTCCTATATGGATTTGCCGAAATATTATCCGAACGGGAAGGAGAGGAAGAAGAGGGGGGTACCTTTCCGACTTACTCGTAACATTCAGCAGTTTATTGGGTTCCAAGGCTTGCGGGGAGCCTTTCCGTCCAATTTCTACGTATCAATAATGGCTCTGCAGAAGAACATGAATTATGTAAGAGACTTTTTAAATCTTACAACTTTGGATGATTTTTATTGTCTATATATTTATGGGGAAAATAGAAAAATTCTGCAAAATTTGCGAAAGAACGCGAACAGTTTAAATGATGAGGAGGTTAAACATGCTTACGTGAAATCCTTTCATGTGGACGATGTGACAACAACAATGATTATAAAAGATGCGGAACACCATGTAAGGAACGTATGCTATCGAGTTCGCTGCTTATATAAAAACATTTTAGATAGGAAGAAGAACGTTTCTGTGTCGAACGCAGATGAATGCAAAAAGGAGAGCGATGTGCCCAAGACATTTGAGTACTACTCAGATTTGCAGGATATCTCCTTGTCCGAATTGTCCTCCGATGATGATTTTGAGCATGCCAACAATAATGAGGATAAGAGCGCACAAAATGTGAAAAGAACTAATACAAATGCGAAAAGGAAAAGAAGCGAAACACCGTCCAAGCTGCTGAAGGTAGATGGTAGTAGCAAAACATGCAAGAGCAGGAGAAGTCCTGTGAAGAAGGGTCCAACTGACGGGGACAAGAATACCTGCGATAAGGCAGATCCCCAACCCAATGACGCGAACGTTGCGAATGAGAAGTTATCTAACAAGGAGAGCAGCACGATGAGCGTGGAGGCAACCGGTGAGGAGAAGCATAGTGGGGAGAAGGAAAGCACTGGTATTGAGGACAGTAATGTGAAGAATGTAAGTATTGTAAATAACCCTACTAATGCGAATAACGCTGCTACTTCCAAAAATGACAAGAGTAGTAAGAAAAGGCGAAGGAGCAAGAAGAATCCAAGTGGGGACCCAAAGGAAGAACAATCGGAGCCGAGCAAGGCACAACAGTCGATGGAGCAAAACACACTGGAGGGTAACACTACCAATAAACAAAGCAAGAAAAATAGAACAAGTGCTTCAAAAAGTAAGAATAACAATGCACAGGCAGGACAGGAAGGAAATGCTACGAAAAATGGACCCTTGAATAATGGGCGAGACCAAAATGCGGAGTCAAAATATACTGCACACAATTTGCAAAAGGAACAAGGTGCAAAGCTTAGGGAAAACGGGGACACAAACATGGATGAATCACACAATTCTGTGTTAGATTTAATGGAAATCTCTATGAGTAAGAAGTATTTAAAAACGGCGAATGGCCCCTGGTTCCCGTGGTTCTAAATGCGTACCCCACCAATGTTCGCCCTACTTGCGTCTAGGGACATATATTACTAGACTCAGGTTTGCCGAATAGCAAAATGAATCACATGGGAATAATTGAGGAGAAACTGCGGCAAGTCCCACATCCATTTGACCATGCATCTACTCGTTTGTGTGATTTTTGACCCATAAAGAAGTGCCTTTGTATGTACATGACTTCGTACGTTTCTGTATCGCGAAACTTTTACCTTGTGTAGCGAACTTCCTTTTAAGAACAACCACCCAGCATGTTGAATAAGCTCATTAGAGGACAAAATGTTAATTTAAGGAAATACAAGAGGAGGGTATCAAACGGAGCATGTTTTCGGTTAGGGGATCAGTACGGAAAAAAAATAAAAGAAACAAAATGTAACGAATTATAACTTCGTAGAACGGTGTGCAATGCCATTGCAATGAGGTTGAGAGCAACGGGCAACTTACTAAGACAGATATGATCATGGAGATGTGGCCAAATTTTAAAACATAAAAACGTAAAATGTTTCACATAATGAAGTAAAGAAATTCGTTACACACATTTTGCGTGCGCATTAGCTGGTATTACCATTTCACTTCTGATCGTACATGGCGTAAAAAAGTGAATTAAAATGGGCGTCCTGTTTCTTCTTTATTACGCGTGCGGTGTTGTACAACTTCAGCAGTGTTAAATTGTTGAGGCAAAAAGTATTGTTCAAATTTTTTATGATTTGGTGATATTTATTTTGCTGCAAATATGCCATATGTTTCCAATAAATGCATTTAACATTTTCTGGATTTATGGTGGCAGCGTTTTCTGCATATTTAACGCATTCATTGTAGTTTCCTAATTTGTAGTGAGAAATAGCCAAATTGGTTAGTATCTTTTCCGTGTGCAGTAGGAGCTCCTTGGCCATTTCATCACTGGTTAAATTTGACACATTTATTTTCTTTTCCTCAAAAATTAACTTGTAAATTTTGGAAAATCGGAATATATCGAAACCTTTTATGTATTGAAGTGAAGCTGCATAGTGTAATTTTTTTTTCATAAACACATTGCCCATTTTGTTGTAAATTTTTAGGTACTCAATTTGTTCTGACATGTTCATATTCCATGGGTCTTTCTTTTTACAAATAAGTTTAACAATTGTTATTTTTAAAATGGCATCTTTTTCGTAAAAAGATTTTTCAAAGTACACATTTTTTAGGGTTCTTTTAAAGAATGAAAAATTATCCGTTTTTTTTTGTCTTTTCTGTTCATCCTTTTTTGAGATACACTCTTGTGACGAGCTATCTGCGTAAAGTGGTCTACTCAGCTGATGCTTCATCATGGTAAGTTTTTCCCTTTTTTGAATGTTTGCTACACTTTTGTAAAATTTTTTGCGCCTGACTTTTTGGAAAGAACTATAATGAAAGGGCAATTTTGTGGATTCCGCCTCATCGTGAGTTCCATCGATTAGGGACGTTTGCGAAGAGAAAAAACCTTCACAAAAACGATTCACTTGATTTTTCTTCAAGCCATCTATCAGAAAGAAGCCTTTTCCATTGTTTCGGTTGGAAATCATGCGCTGGACAAATTGTCGGTCCTTTATTTTGGATGATTTCCTCCCCGAATGGATCCTTTTTCTTAAGTGAGGGTTGTCATTTGGGGTTGACTTTTTTCTGTGGTTGTGTACGCCATTATTCCTTTGAGTATCATCTTCAACTTCACCTTTGCTATCGTGCGGGTTTTGCACTTCCTGCCCTTGACCGGTTTCCTCAAAAATTAAATGGTAACAAAACTGGTTCTCCGAAAAAATATTCCTGTTTTTTGACAAAGGAATGATTACTTCATCTCCCTCCTTTAGCCCCTTGAAGCATTCATAAAACCAGATAGGAGTCGTGAAGCATGACCCGTAGGAAAAAAGAAAAAATGCCTTTCGTTTTTTAATACTAGCATTGTTCTTCCATAAATGAATGGGCAAATGCATTCTTTTGCCTTCCCTGCTGTCCTTATCATTATTGATACTTAAATGGATTATCAACTCACAATCGGTGTCAATGATTGGTTTGTTTAGGCTTTTATTTTTTCCATCTTCGGACACGTAAAATAGTAGCTTTTCCGTTTGGTTCATGTTGATAATTGAAGAAAAATTAACCCGTTTGGACTTTTTAAAGTCCACTAATTCTATAATTAATTCTTTCTTCTGTTTGGATAATTCGTCTGTGATATGGAGATCGACTTCCTTTCCCTCTTTTGTATCACCATGATTTTGTTTCACTTGATTTGTTTCAAGGTTGGACAAGTTTGTCTCTTCCACGATGTCCTTCTGCTTGTCATCGTGGCATACATAAGTGTTACCCTTTTGCGTGTCTTTTGCATTTTTATCCTGGCCATTTGGCTGATGTTTTTCTATGTGTGTGTTTTGCGCGGATTGGTAGATGTGGAGACATTCCAAACCTTTAAGAACAATTTTGGACATTTCTTTTTTTTTCATATTTTGCAAAATTTTGAAAATCCCTCTGTACTTTAAATTATGTTCCTCCAGGGTGGTGTGAATAAATTCTCCCTTCTTTCCATCTTGTATAAAAAAATCAATGTAATCATTTTTTTTGGGCGTAACAATTCCTTTCCCTTCTCGCATGACTTCCTTTATTATGGTTTTATCATCATTCAGAATGTCGACTCGGTTATATTCCTTCAAATACACAACGTATGTACACAGTTCTTCCTCTTTTAAAAATTTATACCTTACATTGTTAATATCTTCTATGGTCAAAGATTCTGAGCACTTGTGAGGGTCTTCTCCTTTGTGTTCTTCATTTGGCGCGCTTTTTTGTGTCACATCGCTCTTTTCATCACGGTTAGTATTGTTTAATTTCCTTTTTCGCACTAGCAATTTTACATCGTTTGAACTTATTCTCATTCTTTTCAAGGTTGCCACGGTGGAATAGCTTATGTATTTTTCGACGCACTTCTGTTTAAATCTTAGGGCCTTTTTAAATTCTGTCCTGAAGTTTTCCTTCCTATCATATTTGTTCTTCTTTTCTGAGTTGCTAAATGTTTCTGCAGTGGTTAGGGGGTGTGCGTGGGTGGGTGCTAAAACGTGCTGCATATATTTTGCAACGTGTTTGTTTCCACGTTTTTCGCGTGTATATATGTGTAAGGGTAATTACTTTTAAATAGCTTTGGGGCCTGAATGATACAGACTTCATTTGGCTTCATACACTTTGCAGCAATTTCGCAAATATAGGGCAGTTTGTCTGAGAAAAAAGGGGCATTCAAGGTTCACAGAAATGAAAGAACTCCATGTTTACGATATGCACCATATAGTTTGTGACGTGTGAACATATGCAAAGCTAAATGGTAAAACATGTACAGTGAAAGGGAAACATATGGAATTCAAATTGTTTACCGTTCTTTCCTAAATATACGTTAGCACTAACGATGTTGTCCTCGGAACCTAGTTCGTAGTATATTACTAATAAAGGGGGGGTTGGTAAAAAATAAATACATCATGTGTCCTTTTCTTGCTCGTTATCTATCTGTTGCATTGTTCCATTCGCTCTGCTATTAATGTTGTCACATTTTAAAGTTTTTCCTTTTACTTTTTACTTTGTGTCCATTTCCGGGACTGTAGTAGCCCTAAAAAAAAGAAAAAAAGAACATTTTCAAATTTGGTATTCGTTTGATGTGGTGCACAAACGGGGTGAGAAAGTTCAATTTAAATGATTGCCAACTGGGAATGAAAAAACAAGTGTGCACTTTATAAATGTACACTCAAAACAGAATGAACCACAAGATGAACTAAGCAATTGTACCTCCCCCAACTGTTTGATAATTTTAAACGAAAAGGTGTCTTCACTTATTGCATAGATATCGTTCAGGTACTCGCAGGGCGCTTCATCATCGCTGTTAAAATTGTAGGCTTTTAAAAAGGGGGGAAATGAAAAATGTGCATAATTTACACGTGTAAACCCATACACATTTGCGAATCTGCGGGTGTATCTATAACCCAGACTTTGTCCAATCGCGCATGTTATTTTTTGAAAAAATTACTTGGGGCTTCCGAATCGGTAATCATTTTTTATATATTGTGAAATTTTACAAAAGGATAAGTAATAAAAATGAGATTATGTGAGTCAATATTTTTCATTTTGTTCTTAATGTTTGCAGAGAGGGACGTAAGAATGTCAGGGCGTTTGAAATTTTGCTAAAACAAATATACGCACAGACAATTGGTTTTTCCAAATTGGATGCAATTGTGTAAAAAAAAAAAAAAGAAAAAAAAAAAAGAAAAAGAGGTAAACTATAATAATGTTCACTCAACTGTGCATACGTATAATTTTATGACAAAAAAAAGTATTGTGCGTGAAGCTAGGCAGAATTACAAAATGGAATCCTGTAAAGAAAACGGAAGTGAACTGTCGACATGGTTAAAAAGGTGCATGCTTTTAGCATTCGCCACATTTAGCAAAAACTGTGCTCATGTTAGCAATTTGCCGTAGGCACAATACACATTTTTTAAAGCAGGTTAATTGAAAAGGGTTAGCACTAGGCACTGTGAAATATAAAGCAAATAGGAAGCAAAACACAAGAAATTTATAAACGTGTACGTATACCACATTTGTAAATGCAGTTCGAAAGGAAAAAAAAAAAAAAAACTAAAAACGAATTAACGAATGATGAATGCAAAAAAAGAGAATAATAGTAACGCAAAAAAAATAGGCACAAATTAACAAAAACTTTTTAATTATATGCCCATTGGAACGCGTGCAACATGGGGATTTCTACCATAGCCATCTTAGAAGCAGAAAAAAAAAGGTAAATGGATGGTGGAAATTATCAAAATAAGTGCTCATGAGTACATATATATGAAAGAATTGACGTGTACATATACACAAAATAAGGAAGAAACAAAAACAAAAAAAAAAGTAAGAAAAAGCAAAAGGGCGTAAACTTATATTTAATATGCACTTCTTCTGAATCATCCCTACACGTTAGTGTAGATCACTTTAAGCACATCCAAAATTTGATGCGCATGAATTTTTTTCACAGTTCCTTCCTTTGTTTACCCAACGTGGTGCTTTTTCAGAGCACCGATTCATCTGCGTGTGTGTATACTTCTGCTGATGCACTATTTTGTAAAAAATGCTAAATAACACAGAATTAAAGCGTGTCCAAAAGAATACTAAATTTGTGCCGAATGTTTGGCAAATCTTTGCAGATTAGTTGGCTAATATTGACCAAATTTGACGCGTTGACTCCGTTTCCTCAATTGGGTACAACTTTTAATTTTTAAGTTTACGCAGAATGGTGAAATCCTCCACCCACCTTCGGGTAACTCTTCATGACACAATGCCATTGTATACAATTCGGAATCTTCCAATTTGTCTGCTTAAATTTATTAATATATTGTTATACTTATGCGTTCACTTCGCTTATGAGACGCTGGTAGATATTTATAAAAAGTGTAGCACAGATATCGCACGTTCGGATGGCTATCTGTGATTCGAGAAATATAGACGCATTAACACATGACCCCTTTTTTTTTTTACATTATTTTATTTTTTTTTTTCTGCGTTATTCCTTTTCATCAACCCTAATTATTTGCGAAACTAAAGGCTTCGAATCGAGTTCTAAGTTTTTCCTCTTCGCCTTCACGAAAACTCTGGCAAAGGACCTGTTTTGGGCTTCCAGCTGAGTAGAAAGAAAGGAACGTATTAAATGGGCTAGGGAAATGGAAAATATGTTGCTCACATAAGATTAAGACATTATGATCACGTAAATGATTCGAAGAATAGCTGAAAATTATTTATAGTTAAATTATTGTATGTTAAGGGAAAGGGTGAAATGTGTGCAGCCAAACACGGAGGCACATAAACATGTATGACGCTACTATATATTTATGCACACAACGAACACAAGTACATTTTCCATTTTTGAGAAAATTACCGGAGAAGAGGCATCATAATGCTTGCTAAATTTTTTGTACACTTCATTGTTTAAATAAAAGATATTCCTATCATAGGCCTTATTGGTAATGTAGAGAAAGAGCCCACTGAGGCCAAGGAGCGACAGCGTTATATACTTGGTCTGCTTCTGAGTTCTGTTTTGGAAATATCTGTATACGACTTTTTTCGTGTTTTTTTTATTGTACATATTAAATTCGCTGAAAAAGTTGTTGCTGTGTTTATCGCTTGTCATTGTTGATATGTGTGCATTATTTTTTGGTGGTTTTGTGTTTGTTAGTTTTGTGTTTGGTAGATTCCCCTGGATGTTCGTGCTACGTCAGGTTCTTAAATGTGTTGATGTAGAGGTAGATGGTTACATGCGCAAGTGTTTCCCCAGTGGACGGAATTACAACATGGATAGGTATTTTTTGGATTTACGGTGTTATGCACTTTGTCACCTCTTTCTGCACATCAGTTGTCGATATAAAGAGACGGACGAACAAGGCGATGACAACGGCATCATATAACTTGGGAACTAAACAAGGACAGCGATGCGCTGGAGATATATGTCTTTCATTTTTTAAAAAAGTGTTCCCTGTGATTTTTATTATTCATTTATTCGTTTATTTTCACAAAAAATGCAGGGCAACATCGATCAAGCAGTATTAACAGAGTCAAAAAGGTACAAGGAAAAAGTTATACAATATACTGCGGGTAGGGGGGGGCTTCCTACATGTTCAGGATTTTTTGGGGAATATTTTCCCTATTGTCATATATATTATTTCTTACCCCTTAAAAAAAAAAAAAGGAACCAATTAGCTGCTACGTGCAAGGTGTTTCTTATATTCACACAGAGGGCGAAAAAAACAAAAATACCTACACAGGAATGGCGAATTGGTTATTTTTATTTTTCCTGTTTTCTTGTAATTTATGCGCTTACCGGACCATTTGTATGAAGGTTAACATGACACTTTTGCGTCCGCTTAAAATTGCGACGCGTAAATTTTTTTTCTACGCCTGAAATGCGCAGTTTTTGCTGTCAATTATGGTTACGCCTGTTGCATATTGATTTTGCCCTGGGGCGTGGAATTTGTTAACCGTTTTTAGAAATAAAATAAGGTAAATTTTGAAAATTATCGATTTTCATTTTATGTATCTTTTTGGGTCACCATGGTTGGCTGACTGATTACCAGGAAATGCACCTGTTAAATTGAGAGCGAAACTTCCTTCACATTTGGTAGGCTCCTTGTGCGCAACGCATAGTGAAATGAGCAGGGACATATTCAAAAATATGTATGTGTGCATAGGGTAGAGCATATGGTGGAGCGTGCCACGAAGAGAACAACCGCGCTACACGCACTTAGACCCTGTCAGTTACAACTTCTTTCATTATACTGATTAAATGATGATTCTCCCGCATGATACATTTTTACAGGCCGACGTGTCCACTATAAAAGAAAGGTATGTATTAATAAGTAGCAACAACTGTATGCATTTTTAAGGTATGCACAGGTATTCATTTTCTCATACAGTTATGTGTGATTATCTACTTGGTTAATCTTTCCTTAACTTGTAAAAGGCAGAAAAACATTACGTTCGTGTTTGGTTCCCATTTCGTAGCGCTTTTGTTCATGCTGCTCAACAAATTGGTAAATTGTCTTCCAATCTCTGTGGTTGTGTGCCATCATTCCAAATGTTGTATTTATTCGAAGGAGTTATTTATTTTTGTTCATTATGCGTATATGTAATAACATGTACAAATTAACGTTTGTTTTAATCTCGAACCATTTCAGGAAAACGCTACTTTTTTTTTTTTTTTTTTTTTTTTTTAAAAACTTGTGTGTATGTGCAAATATACATATGTACCAACTTGTATGCCTAAAGGATTTGTTCCAAAGAAAAAAAATTTTTTTTTAATATTTTTCTTTTTAAAATTGCTGGCATATTTTACACTTTCATTTGTTTAACGCAGATATCGCGTATGACATTATGCCGAATTATGGGGATAAAAAATACAGCACTTTTTTCCATTTTACAAGAATATTACATTTTATTTGGATTTAATTCGTGCACATAGTATGGATAGTTGTGTACATGTTTAAACTTTTCTTTTTTTAAATTTCAATGTTTTATACCTAATAGTGCATACTCACCTGTACTCTCTATCGTGAACTCATTATTTTCCATTTTGTTAATGTGTTTCCAGAATTCGTTTATTTGGAGAATTGTATATTTTACAATTCCGTCGTGGAGTAAAAATAACAAAAATTAAAAAAGTTGGCAATTTGGACAGTTGGGGGGAAATTAAAAAAGATATGTTTTTATTTTTCATCAGCTAGAATTTAAGACACATTAAATGAACCTAAAAAAAAAATGCATACAAATTTAAATGCGCCTCGTTTTTGATTTTACTTTGAACTGTATGCAGTTATCCATTTATACGTGTACAAGTGTGCGTGTGTTCATGTATGCATGTGCGCACTTGTGAGTGAGATTTATTTGTGACTGTGCGTACATGTATTTGAGCTTCCACATAGGTAGCACATTTTGCCATTTTTTTGATATAATTCATGAGCATACCTAATTTCACGCCTCTTGTTTTTTTTCCGTGCCTGTGTGCTTTACCTTTGCTGCGTTTCTGGAGAAACAGCATATTCCAGACCAGGAGAAAACAAATAAAGTTACACCCTTTTGCATACGTTTGTAATCCTGTGTGTGACTAGTCTGAAAAAAACGGAATTAGGAGAATAAGTCCGAAAATGTCAAAATCGATCGTAGAAGGCAAATTTTACGAACATATATTTACCCATTTGTGAAGTAGTGATTTTGTGTTTTGTTCTGTGATAGAACAACGGGCGTTCCTTCTCTGCATGCACATATTTTTAGAGAAAATGACGTCTTTACACTTTATAAATTTTTCCATGGGAAGGAAAGGAGTTCACCACGAGATGTAAAGCAATTGCTTGAGGTCTTTTGTGTTACTATATTTCGCGTGGTTTGCTTTTTCGATTTACATCCTTTCCTTTTTTTTTTTTGTCTTTTTTTTTTTTTTTTCGTTTTCACTTGCACCCCCGTTTGGAGTCCATATTTGACAAATCCCCATGGGAGAACACATTTGTAGATTCAATGGCAACACGAACGTTGCGGCTACGCGGGTGACAATGCTCTATCAAAAATTATTTAACCACGAAAAATCAGTCAAAAACAGAAATCGAATTTTTTTGAATTTTTTCATAAAAATAATAATTTTCCTCTTATGCATACTATTTGTGCTGCTGAAGAATAAAGATAATGTAGGCCAAATATGTGAGAGTCTGCCTATGGAAGGAGTGTGCCCCATGGGGTTATTTCCTGTGGGAGGCAACGACAAAAACAGTGATTTGAGTATAAGCAATGTGAGAAAAAAACAAGGGGATAATACAATATTTTCAGGTGAACAACATATCAATATTACAGCTACCCATGATGATGTATCCCGTTTAAACGTGTTTGAAGATGTGTACAACCTTTTTTGCAGAGCAAATTTTGTTAACGAAAAGTATTTGGTGCTGTTGGGGTGTTCTGGTAAGAGGGCGACATACAGGGGAAGGGAGCACATTTCCAGAATTTTGCGTGAAAGGGTGAGCAGGAATGCGTATTATGATAATGGAAAGGACAATACAAAATCGAGTAAGTACGGACGGGGCGAAAGCGAAGGTGAGAACGAAGGTAACGATCACGAACAGAGGAACCAACTGCCGTCTGCGTCGGATGAGGTATCCGAAGGAATGGTTTTCTTCTGTTTTATCTTCATCTCGGCGACTATGCTGCAATTTATCCTTTCCAAAATAAACAAACTGAACATCCCTGTATCCGTAATATGGTTTCTATATGGAATGTGCACCTATGTGATAGCAAAAAATTTCAACATGTTTGAAGAGAATGCTTTACATAAGTCTGTCATCAATGCGAGGAACATCGACTCATCAGTTCTTTACTTTGTTCTGTTGCCAATTTTGCTATATGAAGCCACACAGGACATAAATTATTACGCCTTTAAGAATTTTATATATGGTGGAATAGGATTAGCAGTAATAGGGGTAGCATTACAAGTAGGTATACTTGGTATTTTGTTTTACTATACCTTTATGTATAGGCAAGAGCAGTCCCCTCTAAGTAGCAGTTTTTTGTTGGCCTCCATCTTATCATCAACCGATCCCGTGGCAGTCCTTTCCATTTTGTCAGTAGTGGATGCTCCCTCAAAAATAAGTTCCATGTTTCATGTGGAGTCTTTAATAAATGACGGAAGTTCTGTCTTACTATTTCAGTTTTTTTTTTATTTAACTATTGGGTATAAGGCCAACGCATCTCAGTACGTGATTCTCTTTGTTAAGTTATTATTTTTAAGCCCCGTATTTGGCATAGCAATGGCTATGTTGACATTTGCTTGGATAAATTTGTATAGAAAATATTATTACAATCAGTGTCTGGCCACGATAACTATGTGTTACGTGTGTTACTTTGTGTCTGAGTATTATTTTAATTTGTCTGGCCCCCTGGCAATCGTGTGTTATGGTTTATTTATTAACGCATATGGCCATATTGCCCTGGACGAAGTGGCACAGAGAAAGCACAAAGAAATTGTGGAGCTTCTGGCCCTCATGGGAAACTCCAGCATTTTCATCATATCCGGAATAGTGTCGTTTGGGATGATGGAAAATGTTTTCAAGGACAACTTGTATTTTTTCATGTACATTGTATTGACATATATTTATTTAGTATTGGCAAGGACCATAATGATATTGATATTTACTCCATTTTTGTCAAGAATTGGATATCCTATAAATTGGAAGGAAATATTGCTCCTAATTTGGGGAGGACTACGTGGCGGTATTGTACTAGTGCTAGGGTTACGGATAGAAGCAGAAAATAAAATTAACGACAAACTGACGAAGGAGTTAGCTTACTACATTAGTGGTAGTGTATTACTCATACTGACGATTCAGGGCTTGACTTTTGAGTGTTTGTATAAAGTTTTAAACATTTATCCGCCCAATCCTTTTAGAATTGTTTATTTGGAGAAGGTACTAAAAATGATTGATTACAATTTTTATATTAGGAAGAAGAATTTGAAAAATTACTGGCTCTTTAAAGGAACAAACATTCTCCACTTTTCGAACAAAATTGTCCCTGAATTGTACTGGAGGAAAATGAACAAATATGGAGAGTTCGATTTGAGGTTGCCAGATATTTATGCTTGTCTACAGGATATAAGCTCGTGTGATATTTCTTGTTGGGAACGTGCTTACGATTCGCAGACAGTGATCGAAAGTTTCGATGATGTGTCTTCAAATGGGAAAGGAAGCTTTCCTATAAAGAACGGCAATAAGATAAGTCCAGGCGTGGAGAAAAAAAAAAGTGATAATAAAAACTCAGCTGGTTCTTCCATGGGTAAGAGAATTCTACAAAAAAATGAATTGTCTAGTATTACAAATAATGCCGTCCTCAATGAGAAAGGAACATCTAACGATAAGAATGTGCACATTAATAGAGGAGAAGAAAATCAAAATTTCATGAAGAACAAGAAGAGTATATACGAAGAGGTGAAATGGAAAAATAGCAATTTTACGGACATAGAATATGAAGATAACAGTGATGAATACAGCTACATAAATAACGATGATAGTAATAGCAGGAAGAAGAAAAAAAGGGAAAAAATAAAAATGAGAAACAGTACCAGCAGAAGGCAGCAAGCAAGGGGATTTATGTCCAGAGGAAAAACAAGCTTTGATAATTCTTCTTACAAAGGAGAAATGAGAATAAATGTCATCCGAAATAACGAGAACTACTTTAGTAGTAATGATGAAGACGAACATAATTACACAAATGTAAACTATTCCCTATCCTCCAAAAATTTGGATAAGCTCAGTCACCATCTGCATGAGCTGTCTGATAACGAATCATCCTACACAGATAAGGTGTGTGAAAACAGTAAAATAAAAAATTTGAATGCTTTTAACTATGACAAAATTTCCATAAAAACGTATGACCGCCTTATAAACAAAATGAATTACCGAGAATTCAAAAGAACCAGAACGGAGAAAGAAAACTTTACTGTCATCGATAGCATTGTTGATAACAAGAACGAGGAGACTTTCAATCCGAAGTACAATTTGAGGCTAATCGAGCACGCTACTCATTTACCCAAAACCTTGAGTGACAATTTGCTCGTTAAGAGCAGTTTGGAAAATGATAATGCCAGTAATGTAGAAGCGAAGAATGGTGATGCAGATTCCAGCGAAAAGGAAAAGAAGAAGCAACAAAACTTGTTAAATATTGTGCACGACCAAGCTGCGGTGAAGGAGGGAGACGTGGGCAAAGAAACGGATTCGGTGAAACAATCTGATGTAGGAAAAAACCCAGGCACAGAAAAACAATGTGTGCATCAGGAAAGCATCCCTGGGGAGGAGCACATAATAAAAAATATAAACTATGATAACATCACCAAGAAGGACGAAAAGTTGCTACACAACTTCAAAGATCTGAAAATTATCGCAGAGGGTACTAATGAGGACACACCGAGGGTAACTAATGTAGATGAAGGAGACAACGAGTTGCTGATGAGTGACAATTTTATTATAAAAATTCAGAAGGAAAAATCACATGAATGTAAGGAGGATCATGAGGAGGATAGTGAGAAGGGGAAAAGGGGAGAAGGCCGTGAAAATGATTTACAAGAAAAAGACGATGATGCAGAAGAGAAAGTGCTAGAAAACTGCATCACTTGTGTGACAAATGAAGAGGGAAATGTGGTGGATGATATCCTAAATTATGACGGTAGTGGAAACAAAAATAACGAATCTAATTTTGAGGAATATTTAACATATAAAAATCTGTTCGCTCTGGATAGCGATGGGAAGAAAATATCGTCCTTCTTTAACAAGAACTATGATAAGAAGAGTTGTCTAGACTTGGGGGTGAAAAATCCATCAGAGCTAAACATTTCCACCAAGGGAACTAACAGTAAGACTTTAATGTTAATGAACAAAGAAATTGAAAGAAGGAGGGATATGAAAAATGTTAATAAATCGAGGTGCACTTCATGCACAGGTGTATTTGATTTCAACATATCTGCGCGAATAAGAAGGGATAGTAATCGAAGCCCGTTAAAGGCGAAGGGCAGTAAAGGGGAAAAACGTAGAAGAGGCCATAACCATAATTGCAATGATGGTGATAATGAAGTCTTCAACAATGGAGATAGCCAAAATGTACAGATAAATCGAACTAACTCCATCATCAAAGCAGGCAATGATAACACCGTCAGTAATAATAACAACAGTAATGGAGATTTCCTTGAGGGAGGAAAAGGAATCCCCAAATTGCAACGAAACAACACGGCGGACTTCACTGCAAGGAGGTATGACACAGATCAGACTATAAATATCGAATGCATAGAAGATGTGTGTCAGAAGAAGCATGTTGCTACTTTTTACAGCTTTTTAAAAAGACCCAAAATGAAAATAAAAAATAAATTATTCAGCGAAATAAGAAGGGCAAGAAGCCACGAAAGTTACGGTAATAGTAAAGATAAGTCTGGGAAGTCTAAGGATGATGTTTTTTACAGCTCCTTCAAAAAAAAAATTGTTCGAAAAGAAAGAGAAGGAGAACTGTACATCATGATATTTAATACTTGCAGGGAATTATATAAAAAGTTGTACGTAAACGGCTTCATTTCTGGGGAATGTCTATTAACACTTACGTCGATTCTAGATTTGTCTGCCGATTTTGCCTTGAGAAAGGTACGAATGAACCCAATTAAAGCATGGGCCGATGCTTTTGATAAGAGCAAGAACAAAAGTAGCAACAAAAGGAGAAGGAGCATTGACCACAGAAATGGGTTTGAATATGAATTTAACGTGCTGTTATCAAAATTAAAAATTAATACAACACATTCATTTTGTTTCTCGCCCAAAGTGGTAAATATATTTCTTGTGTATGAACACTGCATGAAGGATTTGCAGATTATTCTCTCCTATGTGGACGTGCACCAGTGCACATTGGATAAGGGGGGAATTACTATGAAGTTACTTCTGGGGAAAAACTTGCTCAAAAGCTACTACAGAAATATAGAGCTCGCCAAGAGCCTCATACCGCACCTGGTTAATAAGTACAAGGACGTCGTGAAGTACTGCCTCATTAAGATAGGCGCGGACATGCTTATGCATTTGAAGAAGACGGTAATTGCGAGCGGTGTGCAGAGTGGGCGCGTTGGGCGTAGTGAGTGTAGTGAGCGACGGTGCTTGCGGAAGCGTTCCCATATATTGGGGCGTGATTTTGCATCGGTTTTAGCATAATCATGGTACTATTTTAGCGCAACTTTCAGCATGGACGGAATGCTCACCCGACATTTCTGTGCGCCTGCCACCTGTTTATTATCGGTTGACCTGTGCCGCACCACGAATGTGTTCATCATTTGCGTTGCTCTGCATATGTCGCATTAGTCGCTTAACGGAGTAGCACCACCCTAAATCGATTCCAATGGATTATACATGTATCATTCACCTGCCTCTTTACAGATTGTTAATGAGCAAGCTGCTAACGGATTGTTACTAACCCAGGACAACGAAAAATTGAATGGCATTTTCGATGAGCAGCAAATCAAAATTAATAGATATAGGCCATATTTGCATTATTTTTTAAAAAAGAACATGTTTAAGATGATTATAAAGTAGGGAGAAGGGTGGCTTTTCCTTATGGAAATGCATTAACGGCGAGTATCATGCCATAGGCAAGTCCTCTTAATATTTTATTAGTTTGCTACATTACCCGTGATCCCCTTATTTTTTTTTTTTTTGGGGGGGGGGGTGTACATTGTAAAATTGACCTTTTACCTTGTGTGCTCTTGCGCCATAGCAGAATGTCCTGCGCAGAAGACACTGCATTTGTTAGAACATATGCATACGTACTGTGAACATTTTCAATGCTGCTACGATTCATATCACGTAGGTACAAGAAAGGTAAAGCGAGCGAACGAGAAGGTGACGCCACGTGGCTAGAGATGTGTATATATAAAATGATCACAATGTGTGAATACATTATTCGATCCGTTTCTTTTTCGTCTTTCTATTTTTTTTTTTTTTTTTGTGCTTCATGCCATTTATACTTATGAATGATGTATTTACCGTGCACGTTTTATATGAATCTTATTTGAAAGTGTAATACCTGCACCCGCTCCTTTCCGTCCCCTTATAACGTGCACACGTATGTGTGTACATTATACACGAACGTGTGTGATTCGTGTGCACGCAAAAATATTTTTAAGAGCAGACTTTACTTTTTGTGCTCGATTGATATCTTTTTTTCTTTTTTTGTGTAGTTTCAATTTTAACAAATGTTTAACAAAAACAAATAATTTTTTGTATTTTTAAGGTTAAGCGTTTTTTATATTTATTATTAACAACACTTTTTAATGATTTTCACTTTAATATACCTTTTGCATTTTAACTGTATGCTCTATCTCTCTGTCTATATATATGCACAACTGATACTATACAGTTGCTGTTTTCGATGCGGTAAGGTTTAAATACGCGTATATGCATTAGGTACGTACACATATGTACACGTATATTATATAGCCATTGGCATAGCGCACATTTACGTGAGTAAAGGCCCGTGCGAGCTTATTAACGTACGCAAAGGTACTTTCTCCGTTGAGTCCCTTTTTCTACATTTTTCACACAATGCGTGTAAAAAGAGGCCTCACAGTTGGCGTTAAATTATTTAAGCTTTTACCCATTTTATGAATTTCTTTTTTCTGTTTTTTGTGCCCACTGTGGAATGACCTTGAAAAACAATGGAGTGCAATTTACGAGTGCACATACGGGATTATGAAAGACATACGATGAAATGGAAGGGCGGTAAAAAGGAAGAAATTGGAGCGGTGGAAAACGAACCATTGGGCGAACGATTCAATCACGCGAACAGAGTCCCTGTGTAATTATTATCAATGTTGTTCAAGCGATAATTCATAGGTGTACGCACAGTGTCATATGCACATGTACAAATACGTGTGCCTACTTATGTACGTACTCATAAATATTACTTATATGTGCCCCCGCATACGCCTTGGTTAATGGAATAGGGGGGCACGAGGAAATATACCACGAACTGATTGTGTAGGTTGACAAAGAAGCGCACAAGGTACTCACGTACGTAGGTGTATATATATAAATATGAAAGTACGTATGCATATACGTACATTTGATATACATAAGCGTCACTGCTTTGTGATCGCTTGAAAGGGAATATGGTGAACCTTATTATGTCAATGGAAAATCATTTTTAGCGTACCCTACATTTTGTTGTGATATGATTTAAAACGATGTAAATTGTTCGACGTAAAAGGGAGCAGTACGGCAAATACATAAAGAGCAGGAATAAAAAAAGAGTACCCTCTCAATCGATTGAGATGAAATGAAATGCGTACGAATGAGCACAATGCTTATATCATTTTGTATGATAATGGTTCATATGTATGTTCGCATATGACCATACATGTTTGTACAAATCATATTATTATACTTATTATGCATGCACTTGCGTACATACCAAAATTACGTTTCTTATAAATTGTCACAAAGGCGGGAAAAAACAAAAACAGGAAATAAAAAAATAAAGGAGTTTATAAAATTATTGAAATGTAGAATTGCAAATTGCAGAACCAAAGGGGGTTGGTAAGAGCTTTTTTTTATCCGTTTTAAAAAAAAAAAAAAAAAAAAAAAAAAAAAAAGGAAACGAAAAAAAAACATATGGAATATAGTATATAGCATAATACAGCATGTACGTGGCGTACGAACGCAAAGCAGATAAGTACATATATATAATTTTTTATTAAGCACAAATTGCGAAGGCCACAAAAGGAGCACCACTTCATAATTATACAGTAATACCGTAAAATGCGTACCTGAAAAATATATAAAAAATTCTGCATTTTACGTCAATTTTAAAAGCCAAAAAAAATTTAAAAAAAAAAAAGAAAAGAACGCATATGGAAATAGCAATTTATACATGTTGAACGAACATGAAAATATACATACATGTACATACAAACATATACATACCTATACACGTATTTTACATATATTTATGTTATTATATACGCACGTTCGTAAATGCCAAACAATATTTGCCGTGATTACAAACAGCATTTTATGCTTATATGCATAATTACGCATGAATATACAAGTTGATGAATGAGAAGTTAACCAATTTAAATTCATTTGTTTCGAGGAGATGAAGGAACAAAATGAAAACGAAAGGGGAAACAAAGCGAAATGAAATGTAACAGCACGTATAATACATTTTTAACATAAAAGTATAAAAAGCAAACGGGAAAATAAGAAGGAACAAAGCAAAGAACGAGGAAAAGAGTACGAAATATTACAATCCCGGAAGGAGTAGTAAAGCGCGAGATCAAGCGTTAAAGGGAAAACCAACGAGAAAACTGAAGAGCGGAAGAAACAAACATTTGAAAGCGAATGATGTGATCCAAGCGGGGGAGCCAAACGAACCTGCTTAGTGAATCACTGCGCAAAAATAGAAAATCACCCAGTTTGTTTTCCCGTTCTTTATTCCCTTTTTTTTTTTTTTTTTTTTTTTTGTACAAAAAGAAAAAACTTGAAGAGTTAATGTTAATGTTCCCGTTATAAATAAAATGAAAATACTCCTATCATCAGATGAAGTTAATTTGATTGTTTATCGCTATTTAGTAGAGAACGGATTTATCCATGCTGCCTACGCTTTTTTTAATGAAGCAAATATATCGAAGAATTCGTACTATATAAGTCATGATGAAAAGCTGCCATGCCATGCCTTGGTAACCTTCTTGCAGAAGGCACTGGTATTTATATTTATAGAGTACCATACCGAATATAACAATGCGAGAATTTCCTGTAGGGAACCCTTTTCCCTTTTCAGAAGACATGAATGTTGTACTGAGGCACAGGATTTATCAGAGGAACAGGAAAACAAAACAGAAATTCTGGAGAATGAGAAAAACACCAGCAATAATTTAAACATATGCACCTCGAGTAGCAAAACGATTGGCAATAATAATAATAATAAAAGTTATTTGCCTAACGGTGTCAGCTTGAGTGACTTGAAAAATGATCCTTGCATTAACAATGTTAATGACCATGACCCCAAAGGTGCTAATGCTAAGAAGAATGCTGTTAGCAAGAAAGGTGGTGCGAAGGCTGACAAGGAGGAGGAAAACGGGAAAGCCAATGAGGATAGCAACAAAAATGTGAACCAAGTTGGTGATGGGAATGGTAAAGACACCAATAACAACAGTAACAATAACACAAATGATAATAATGCCACGAAGGCGAAAACGAACTCGAAGCCCAGCATTTACAGGAGCAGCTTTTCAAACTTTGCCTCTTTAAACTATAACGACAGCAATATATCTTTTAAGGATATCAAGAGGAATTACGCGAACATTTTCGCGCAAGGAAAAAAGTCCAAGAAAAGCTCTTCAAGTAAGAAGAATAATAGCAGTAACAACAGCAGCAGTAATAAAGTCAACAACGACAAGAACAGTGAGGCAGCCAGCGGTCATAACAACAATGCTGGGGGAAGTAGTAAAAAAAACGGCACTGCCGCTAGTAGCAATAAAACAGAGGAAAAGGAATCCAAGGAGAAATACGAACCGGATGATATCAGCAGTAGTGGCAATCAAAGAAAGAAATCAAAAGTTATGAAAATTGTAAGTACATCCAGTAAGGCGAATGAAGATCAGAACGGCAAATGTAACAACATCAGTGATAGCATCCTTTCCGATGATAAAGGAAAGGAGCATAATGACGTATCCTATATGAAGGAGGATAACGTTCAACCTAATAAGCAAAATAATGCAAAGAAGGACAATAACGTAAATAACAACATTAAAAAAAATAATGTAAACACATCAAGTGGTAAGGGAACAAGCCTGATCAATAATAACAACCATAGCAATGGGAAGAAAAAGGAGTTAAGTGGTGGGAGCGCAGGTCAAAATAGCAGTTCCTCAAATAATAAAAAGAAAAAAATGATAAAAGAAAGTACATCCACTAATTCAACAAACAATAGCAAGAAAACGATAAAAAATTCATTAAAAAAGGAGAAAAATGAAAAGGTTAATAAGAGCGTTACATCAAAACAGAAAAAAAATAACAGACAAGACGAAGACGATGAGGATGGCGATGATGAAGTGTCTGATGAAAATTCAGAAGAGGATTCCGAATTTTCCAATGACAATCAAGATTATAATAATGAAAATGTTTGCAATGCCCCTTTGAAGGGCAGCACCAATAATTCTGCGCACACGAGGGATAATCCCTCAAGCAGTTCTATTAACAATAACGTAACTGTGGACGATAAAACGAATGATGATACGTATGTCAATTTTAAGAAAAGTAGCAGTACGAATGTCATTTCGAATAGTTCTTCACAGAATTCTACCATCGACGGGGCTAAAAATGAAATCAATAACTCCCATATAACGCATTATGATGGAAATATACAGGACTATGCATTAGCGAGTGAAAAATCTTTGAATGGGAATCATTCAAAGGATAAAGCTATGCTAAAGGGGGAATGTGATCCTCCCGAGGTGGAAGCAAAAGAAGGCATTAATTCAAATAAAAATGAATTTAATTTCAGTTTTGCAAATTTTCTAAATAAGAAAATAAGTTCTATTTTTAATAGCAGCTGCGATAATGATGCATTAAATGGGGATAGTCATAATACGGATAGAAATAACGAAAGTTGCAAGGGTAATAGCAACGACAGCACTGTAAAGGATGGCTCGAACAACGAACAGGTCCTGCCGCACGATGAGGAAGATCCTCCACCAAGTGAACCGTACGAAAGCGTCAACAATAGTAAAGACCGGTACAACAAATTTAGCCAAAAGAGCAAGCTGATAAAGGCTGAATATATGGAGGCTAAGTACGAAAAGGAACATCTCGCAAGAGAACAAACGAACCAGGCGGAAGATGCAGCAGGGGCAACAGGGGATGTGGGGGCACCTGCGAGGAAACAAAAAAGACCATACGATTACAACAGTGATATGAAAGTCCAAGGGGGAGGAGATTCACACCAAATCGAAGGACACGAAAATGATAAAATATGTGTAGAGGAAAAAAAAAGAAAGAAGTATTCCATTTATGAAGAAAATTATAAGAACGAAGTGAACAAAGAATTTTTTAAAAAACTAACGCAGACATCGGCAATGAAGGGGGATAACAAATGTAAAGGGAATGGTGCAGTGGGTATGAAGGAGGAAAAGGAAGATGGACATGGTAGGGGAGTAGAACAAGAGGGAGTGGACGGTGAATTGGGAGGAGCCGAAAGTGGTGACCTGCAGCACCATGGGGATGATGGAAATGCGGAATTGGTTAAGGCAAAAGTAAGTGGACATAATGAAATATCGTTTAATAAATTTGGTAAAAATTATTATAATAGAAGCCCTAGTACTGCCAACGGGGATGACCACGAAGCGTATGATATGATGGATAAAAGTCCACTTGGAGAGGAGAATTTTTTAATAACAAACGAAAAGCAAAACAGTACGCATGTGCACACTGCGGTGGAGGTAGATGAAGAAAGGACCAAAAATTGAATATATTTAACGGAGCTTTGTGCGGAAGAAAAGAAAGTTGGACTGAAGTACGTGGATTATTAGTATATTTGACGCATTATAAACGCTAGCCCATGTGCTAATAAAAATGGAAAGGAGTTATAATAACAATCCTTTTGGTGAATATAATTAAGACAAGAACAAAAAAAACATGGTGATGTATGATGCTGTGCCCCAAATGCACTGTTAACGCAAAGGAGAGAAGAACTATCCACTCAGAAGAAAACTAATATTTGATTAATTAAAAGACGTATATATATATTTGCTAGTATGTGTACTACACATATATATATATGCAGAATTTTTTTTTGCCATCAGGCACTAAAAATTTTTTTCTGTAAAAGCTCAACATATTAAATTACAATATTATTATTCTGAAGAAATAACTAAAGAGATAATAATTTTTTACACAATCAGTTTTTATCATTCAAAAATTGAGCAGAATTTCCTATTTGAGTGCTTTTTCATTCCCCTTTTTTTTTTTTTTTTTTTTACCTATCATTTGTATTTATTCAGAATTAAATATTATTGTAATGTATTAAAATGGAAGGAAAGAAAAAAATAATAATGAATGATATAAAATCATCACGTATACATATCCTGCGAAATCGCAGACCATATATGTATATAAATATATGTTAGGACACAAGCTACTAATTGTAATTAAAAGAGTGTATTTATAACAGTAAAAAAATAAATGTTAATTTCTCTCTTCCACTTTTTTTTTTTTTTTTTTTTTTGTTTCATAAAAATGTATAAACATGATAATGTAATATATTTTTTTTTTTACATATAACGATGTATAATGGTAAAAAGTGGAAGAATGTGCATTGTGTTTTTATGTCCATTTTTACAAAAAAATAAATGAAGCATATGGTTAATCATTTGATGTTTTTTCACACATGGCGTGGAAGTCTCAAAGGAGGAACAAGAAGAAGAGAAAAAGATAAAGGAGGGGAATCAGAAAACGCAGAAAAACAAGCGCTTTTTGAAGCATAAAATGGGCTTTCAGTCAGCTATGAAGTACAGCTTGAGCAATTGTTTTACCGCTATTCGCAACTGTGGAGAACGTTTCCTCCTTTGTTTTTGTTCCCATGAAGTTGTAAAAAAGGAAGAGAAGTATATACATTTTACGGAGTCAAAGTTATGCTTGGTAAAAATGCAGAAGCGCGTATAATTGTGTCCAACCGTTTGCTGCACCTATGTAATGTTTTGTAGAAACAAATGAAGCAAAGGAGTAGGACAATAACTCAGAATGCCGGAAAGATTATGTGGTAGCGTCTGCAGCACATGATGCAGGATTTGCAGAAGATGCTGTGAAGCGTTCAGTGTACTGTTGAATGAATGCGGCGCATTGGGGGGATTATGCTTCCAAGCGCATTTTTGCAAGTGAAAGAAAAAGAAGAAGAATAGCAACAAGAACAAAACAATGTGAACAAGATAACGAAAGGAGAACGAATTAGCTGTTCAACATAGATGGATTGCCCCAGCCCTCTTAAACATTACTGCAAGAACAGAAATAAATAAATAAATAAACGAAATTGTATATCACCTCATATAATACTTTAACTCACCGTGTTAAAATTAATAAACAGAAATGCTTCTACACTTTGTAATATTTTTTCAGCTATAAGGGGAGAACTTGCGCAAAGTAGTATGTTTCACGTATTGAATGTAATATGTGTTACATTATGTGAAATGTTTAATAACACTTGTTAATGTTCTCCTTTTTTTAGTTTTTATTTAATAAGTTGTTAAATTTTAATCTGTTTCGTTTATTTTTTTTTTTTTGATAATTGCATATCGCTTCCTTCTTCCATCCATCCATCCATCCATCCTTCTTTTTTTTTTTTTTTTTTTTTTTTTTT